CAGAGCCTGTAGAGACCAGATGTCGTGTAAAAGCAGGAGGTCTATACTAAGGGCCTCAAGCTAGGTTTCAGCAGCGGCACGCAGCACTCTAGTCAACCATCGGCACGAAACCGGGCCGACCAACGAACGGTGGACCTGTTGATCCGTCTCGATCATCCACGTGAAACTTCCCACGACCTTGAGAATGAACAGCCGGTGGACTTTCTGTCCATGAAACCTGGACCCTATCGGGACCAGGAATGTTCAGGCAGCTCGCACGCACCGCGACAAGGTCGCTGTCGACCACTGCCAGAGTGCACAAAGACCCCTGGCCACTCCCCCACACGCCAGAGCATCTCGCGTCGACGGTGACGCCGGAGGACCTGCCCGGCCTACCGCCAATTCCAAGGCCGAATGAGGCGCTCGAGACCACCCGCGCGCGCCTGGTCTACCAAAGCCGGAAGCGCGGCACGCTCGAGAGCGACTTGCTGCTCAGCACATTTGCACAGGAGAAACTCGGGAGCATGACTGCGGACGAGCTAAAGGAGTACGATAAGGTGTGTGGCGTGATTCGTACAGTAAAGTCTAGAAACTGAAATATCGATCGTGCAGCTGTTGGACGAGCCTGACTGGGATATCTACTACTGGGCTACGAACAAGCGTACACCACCCGAGCGCTGGCAAAACTCCCCTATCTTGGACAAGCTGAGAGTGCACGCCCGCAACGAGGGGAGGGCAGTGAGGCGCATGCCAGATCTGGATTAGGGATGACATTGGCCCGTGTGTAATCTATTCTACAGGATGCAGCTTGGTTTCTGCGCCCTTTGTGCATGGCCACGAAGTCTGGATACTGTCCGCATGTGTAGAGCTGAATAATCATCGTCGTAATTCTCCAGCGGAAAGGAAGTGTACTGCTCTTCGTCTCGCTGGCGCACCTCAATCAAATCAAAGTCCCTTCAAACTGTCATCGCGCATGATGAGAGTCGTTGGTTGTGATCCCAGTACCGTCAGCGCTTCTCCCTTCCATACCTCCCGTCAGGGCCACATCCAGCGCCTGTGGCCCGCGAACACTACAACAAACTCCACGTGGAGCGCCAATCATGACGCTCTTCCCATTATGCGCACGCTGAGCTCATCCCACCAACTCACAAAGCAACGCACGATAACCTCCCACCCCGGTCATATGTTCACAACTCTGCCCGCAAACCTTTCATTCGAACTCTAGACTCCCGATGGCAGTCGGTACCAGCCGCCTCGCGCGCTTTCTGCGATCCAAGCACATCCTACCGACGCGACGTACCTCATCTCCGACGGCCATGTCATTGTCAACCTCCACTTCGACTTCCACTCCTTCCGTGCCGCCCTTTCCACCAATAGACGCCCTAAGGCTCGAGCCTAGCGCGCCTCATACCGCAACAGTTATCTTCCTGCACGTGCGTACCCTCCTCATCTCCGCCGCTGCGCTTCAGACGCTGAGATGTGTGTGTTATGTTGCAGGGTCTCGGAGATTCAGGTGATGGCTGGGAGCCCTTTGCAAAGAAGCTTTTGCGCGATCCAACCCTCAACCACATCAAGTGGATCCTTCCTCACGCGTAAGCTCAGACTCACCTACTCCTTGCACCAGAGTATACTCATGCTCAACCCATCTGCAGGCCTGTCCAACGCGTAACGGCGAATAATGGCATGCACATGCCCGCATGGTTCGACGTCATCGAGTTCGGCTCGAACAAGGAAGATCAACCTGGCTTACGCGCGGCTTCGGGGGCGATCGCTGCATTACTAGCGGAGGAAGACGCTCGTACACCTGGACGTGTCGTTCTCGGGGGCTTCTCTCAAGGCGCCGCACTCACGATCTTGACCGGGCTTACGAGTACACCAGCACCCGCAGGGATGCTCGTGCTCAGCGGCCGCACGGCTCTGCGCGAAGACCTGAAGGCAAACCTTAGCCCGCGCGCGAAGGAGCTGCCTATATTTTGGGCGCACGGCGGTATCGACCAAATGATCAAAGTCGAGACAGCGCGTGACGGGCATAAGTTCGCCATGAAAGAGCTTGGGCTGAAGAAGGCGAAAGAGTTGGGTGGTCCTGGGGTTGAGTTCAGGGTGTATGAGGGGATGCAACATTCGACGTGTCCGGACGAGGTGGAGGCTGTGACGCAGTTCTTGAGGAAGGTCGTGCCGAAGCAGGATTAGAATACACTTGCGCGATCAAGCGAAATCTCCTGTACAGATCTACAATAGCTGCGGAACGTTGTGGAGGAAGAAGAACGGATAGACCACACCGCAGACAGAACGCATCGGATGTCGGTCCGTGAGACCGGGTGTGGCACACCTTCATCCAGCGCTTCAGCGCCTTCTTGCCTCGCTACCACCACGACGTGTGCACTGCAGCTCCGCAATGTCCTCGATATCATCTACCTCGAAGGACGTCTCCTTCATTAACCCGTCTGACATGGACACAAGTAGCAGTGCTCCATCAAGCCCCAAGGTTCTTGCTCAACCTCTCATGGGCACCAGTGTGGCGGAGGAACATCCCCTATACTACTTTCATGACGGTTCTTTTGCTTTCGAGGTATGCATGACGAGTCTACAACCATACGTGCCTTGATGCTTAAACATGTCTTTAGCTTGAAGGAACCAAATACCGCGTGCATAGCTCTTTGCTCGCCCGGCACTGCGGCTTCACGTCTACCTGGGCGGAGGACCTGAGCGACCCCACGTCTGCTAGAATCACTCGCGCCGACATCGATGCGTTCCTCTCCATGATATACCTTGCGTAAGTCTACCTCAACCTCTACTCGAGAGGTCATCCTGAAGTGACCGTATCTGCACAGGACGTATGAGTACGTCGACCTGAACCTCTCCGTTGAGAGTTGGACCTCTATCTTGCGCCTGGCGACGATGTGGATAGCGCGTCCTATCCGGGCCCTTGCAATTGAGATCCTTGGGCCCAAAGTGTCAGCGATCGACAAGCTTCTACTATGTCGCGAATATGATGTTGACGAATGGTTGTCCCCTGCTTGCGCCGCCATTGCGCTTCGCCCTGCGCCCCTTACAATGGCAGAGGCAGACCAGCTCGAAAAGTCTGATATAGTGCGCATCTTTTCTGCTCGCGAGGCTGTCTCGAAGGGAGGTGTGGACGCTACAGAGCAAGCGATCAGTGCGTGGATCGCTGGGCTATCGCGCGAACTCGTGCCAACCGCTGCCCCACCCAGTGTTGAAACAACACTCATTCCCTCCAGCCAACCTATTGCAGAGGCATCTGCGCCTATTGAGCCGGCGGCGGTGACCGATACACCTCCCGTGCAATTGGTATCGGAAGGCTTGTCAGAAAACGAAGAGCTCACTGGCAGCTCTGCTATGGCTAGTGCTTCTCAGAACGATGCGAAGTACCTCGATGGTGCTCTGATTCCACCTAGCCCTGAAGAGGCTCTTCGACAGCATCTTGCGTCGAACACAAGCTCTTCCCTTTTTCAAAGCTCAACAACCAAATCTACACCCTCCAGCATCAGCCAGAAAGCGGGGACATCTAGCCTTGACACCTCATATGTTCTCCCCGTTCAGGAGGTCGCTCCACCAAGCGTTCCTGTCCGCGCTCCGGAAGAGAAGCTCACCCATGCTGTTGATGCCATACATAACCAACTTTACGACGACGCCCTGAACTCCTTGACCATGGACAACCTCAAATCTGTCGCCCGACAAGTCGCGCCGTCGTTGATCCTCCATAACCCGGAACGACCTGGTGTAGGCAATATCAAGCGATTGCGCGCTCTTCTACGAGCGGTTCTGCGCCGTGTCGTCACCAACCCCGGATTCATCCCTTGCGGGGCGCAGTTTACGCTTGCTCTGTCCATCCAGCCGCCTCTCAGAAGTATACGCTTCGAAGACGCGCTACAGGTTGACATGCAGTCTCTAGCTTCCAACTGGGCCACATTCAAAGCGGGAGGAAAGCCCGGTAACGACGTTGGAAATATCATGGCGGATTTGTCAACCTCCAGCAAGAAAGTCTACGAGACGCAAATGGGCCATGGGAAGGGCTTCTTCAGGACTTTGGTCAGACTGGCAGTCCTGCCCGGTACGAGCACGTATCTGAAGATGCTGGTGTGAAGATGTAACTTCAAAAATCAGGCCCAACGCTCTTACTGTACAATGTTATAGCAGTCATAGCTGCGTACATTACTTGAATAGACAGCGACAAAACCCATCGCATGCTCGCATAAGGCTCCCTGTACACTTTCATCGCGCTGAACTTCCGCTAGCACAGATGCACGTCCGGGGTCGCATCTTCATCACTCATCAGGCCCCGGGAGGAACTGTAAACTCCTGATGGGCGTTGATCGAAATCCCCAATAATATTCATGCGCAATACAAAGATAAGATCGAGGTTCCTATGAACGTTTAGCAAGATGAGCATGTCCTGGGCAAGTGCACTAGCGCATAAGTGTGGATGCCGGGATACTGCTGTGCGGCGAGTGCGAGCCTCGTGTTCGCGTTTTTGATGGTATCACGGTAGAATATCGAGGCCGAGCCGGTTTCTTAACCGGTGCCGGGATTTATAATAGAGACATTCCGCACACGGTGTTGAGCTCATGTCGACCGAACGAAGAGCGGCTGCGGATGCTCCACCACTGTTTGCGGTCGCTTCGGAAATGGCCGCTCGCGCAAGCTTGAGCGGCTTATAAGGTCCGAGCGACTGTTGTGGCGACGCTCCAACCCGCACCACGACTGAGTGAGCGAACGGCCAAATTACCGTGTGCGGAATGTCTCTAATCCGTCGGAGATTTATACTCGCGAGTGGAAATTGAACCCCATATCATCGGGTTGTTTACTCCGAAGGGATATTTAACCTCAGAAATTGCTCAGAAAGTACCGGTAGGGATCTTAAACCCCGGGTGCCGACTTATCACTGATGGGCGCGGCTGCGGGCCGATGTGCCGGGTGTGGCACACCTTCATTCAGTGCTTCAGCGGCTTCTTGCTCCGCCACCACCACGACACCCTCGCCATCCTTCGTGTCGACTATTGAATGTCGTCAACATCTGCAGTGTTTAAGGACTTGTCCTTTATCGATCCGTCTGACATGGACACAAGCAGTAGCGCTGCGTCAAGCCCAACGTTGCCCGCTCGGCCGCTCGCTGCCGAAGCCACAGAAGAACATCACTTGTATCATTTCCACGACGGCTCACTGACTTTCGAAGTACGGAACCTATTGCTGGAGGTACTAATATGCACTGACATGCAGACTGTAGCTCGATCTGATCAAGTACCGCATACATAGCTCTTTACTTGCTCGCCACTGTGGATTTGCGTCTACCTGGGCGGAAGACCTGCGTGACCCTTCTGCGGCAGGCATATCTCGCCCCGACATTGACGCATTCCTCTCCATGATTTATGTTGCGTACGTGCACTATTTTTTTTGATCCTTCATCTCAAAGAAGAATCATGCAGGACGTACGAATACGTGGATTTGAGCCTCTCCACTAAGAGCTGGACCTCTATCTTGCGTCTCGCGACAAGGTGGAAGTCAGATGGACTGCGCAAGATTTCTACCAGGATCCTTGCGTCTAAGCTTTCCCCATTTGACAAGCTTCTTCTGTGCCGGCAGTACGATGTGCCAGGGTGGCTCGCACCGGCTTGCGCGGCCCTCGCACTTCGCTCTGCTCCCCTCACGATGGCCGAAGCTGAGCAACTGGAGAAGGCCGACATCGTGCGAGTTTTTCTTGCTCGTGAGGCTGTTACTAAAGGGGGCGTGGAAGCGACGGAGGAGGCAGTCGGCTCGTGGATCGCCGGTTTCATGTCAAAGCCAGACCGTGCGTCTTCTTCGCAAACTGTCGCAATGCCCGCAAATGCCGAAGCGCCGTCAGTTGCTGCAGCTCAAAGGGCTTCTACACCAACTCCGACTGTTCTTCTGTCACAGCGGACTGCCTCAGAAATCGCGGTCGACGCAGCGCCTTGGGAAGGCAATCGTAGCACATTTGGTGAAGGGTTATCAAACTCTGAATCGGAGAGCGGCAGAGAGGTCCCCATTCCTCCTGGCGCTCCTCATCATCATGAGCCTACTGTGATCTCCGAGGGAATCAGTGATGTACCGATGGCCAAACTCTCAGCCTCTGCAAGTCCGAGCCCGAAGGCTACACCCTCTCCAACCTCTGACCTTTCCACTCTTCGTCAGACGAATCCTGTTGAGGACGCATCCCCAGCGATTGTCGTGGCTCCTGCGGTTCCAGTTCGTACTGCAGACGAACTTTTGAGGGATGCCTATCACGCCCTCCTTACGCAAAACCACGACGAAGCGTTAAACTCGTTTACGGTGGATAATGTTGCGAGTCTTGCCTACTTAATTGCCCCATCTATAGCGGGCTCCACTCCACAACGCCCCGGAGTATACGACGTCAAACGACTCCAACACCTTCTCCAAACTATCATGCGGCGGGTTGTCACCAGCCCAGGCTTTATGCCACGGGCCACGCAGTTCATTGCTTCGCTCTCTAAACAGCCACCTCTTCAAGGATTGCGCCTCGAAATTGTGCTTCACGATGACATGCAATCCCTTTCGTCCAGATGGGCCACATTCCGCGCTGGCGGCCAGCCCGCTGTCGACCATGGTGGCGTCATGGATGACTTGATGACATCTAGTCGGAAAACGTACCAAGCGCAGACCAGCCATGCGCGGGGGTTCTTCAGAACACTCGTTCGTCTGGGTGTGCTGCCTGCCACGAACAAGTATGTGGAGATGTTGATCCAGTCGTATCCGATGGTGCCGAACCCATAGACCCCATTCGTACGTCAGATACCCAATGTACTCTTGCTGTGAAACAAAGATGTATGCGGAAACGAGTGTATTAGGAATGAATGTAATGTTGAGTCCGAAAGAGAAGATCCCTTCACGATGTACCATCAAGCAACAACTTCAACGCCACTCCTTGTGCATCGAACGCTTCCTGTAGTCCCTCCTGGAATAGCGAGCCCACCACACTAGCGAGACTGCCGCTGTAGACCTGCGCGCTCTCGTAAAGGGTCATGTTGCCCACTGTGCTGACCTGTCCCCATTGTCAGAATCAAGTCAACCTCGAGGACGGCACCTAGGGCAAGCACTCACTGCAGACCACCGCGTTGCATTGATTACGGACTCCGGGAAGTCGATGGGCTCCCAAGCGACACGATGCAGGTCCGGCTGGAGATGGGTGACGTTCTCAAACGAGATTTGCGAGTGCAGTATGTTGGAAGGTGTAGAACGATTCACGGGTGGCGTCAAAGGCGGAATTTGGACATTGATTATGAGCCGGGCGCCCTCGAAAGCGGTCTGGTTCTCGAGCGGGATGAAGAACTCATCGCAGACCGTTTGGGACCTGGGGTGCACAAATGAGCTGGTTCTCGTGAAAGCGAATGATAGGATACCTCGCGAACGGGTTCCAGTCCGGATACCCAGTGAAGTTGACGAGCGTGTTCCATACCGTCTCGAGGGGAGCGTCGATCAACGCACGCGTGCTGACCTCGAATGCCCCAGAGCCCTGTACGTGAAGCACGGCTTTTAGTATGATTGCCTCAGCATATGTGGGTATGTTCGAGGGCGTACCATAGGCGGGAGATTCGATTGCGCGAGTGCCGGGCTCGAAGCCTGCAGGAGGAGGAGCGATGCTGCAATGAGCGGGGAAAACATGGGAAATCACCGAGGTCGCCTAGGAAAAGATTCGTTCACTCCCCATTCTTATTAGAGCTTGGCTTAGAGCCGATGTAACGGGAATCATATGAGAGCTGAAGGAAGAAGCTGGAGACTCGTGATGTATACAACCCGCTTCGGGGACTGGAGAAGCAATATGATGAGAATACAATGTCCGCCTAACCGATCATGAGCGCATGGGGAAGCAATTGTATCCATGCGTGCAGAGACAAAATCCTCCAAGACGCTAGAATGCCGGCGGCCGCGGCACAAGGTGTCGTCAGTGACGAGTACCTGAAGAAGCAACGGACGCAGTACATGCAAAAGATGGTTTCCAAGGGTGAAGTAGCACAGAGAATACAACGTAAAGTTTGCACACGGCCCGAAAGCTCTATTCATACAACGGCTAGTTGGACAGCAAGGAGGACAACACGACAGGGTATCGCAAGGGTGCTTCAGACTCGCGGGGTATATCATCTTGCTACGCCAATCGTGACTGTTCGTAGCCCCGTAGACGTCTCACCCGCGTAAGGGAAGTCGCCATATCCATTACCCGACGAGAACGGAAGGTCCTCGACGATGCGTGATGAAGTAGTTCCTGGGTTCACCTCGGCGTCGGGAAGATCGAATGCGACCTTGGCAAGACCAACATCGGAGTAATAGTCGTCCTCATTGATCTGCTGTTCAAACTCGATTTCGCCAGTGGTGTAGTTCGTGCGCTGACGCCGCATAGTGCTCAGCGCAATGGAGCCCGTTCCGGGGACACCGGTGCGCTCGTCGAGGTTGGCGGGGCCATAAGCCGTGGCACGAAGGTTGAGCGTTATTCGGCACATCATTGTGGTAATGATGCAGCCAGCAGGTCTATGTATGGACCAGATCATAAGAGGGGGTAGCGGACTCGACAGCAGAGGGCACATACACTGATGCGATTGCGCGCAGACCGGTGGGCGCGTACAAGATCATGATCACCCATGCCAAGTTTACACTGAAGATCGCGGCGAAGTAGAATGCACCGTCGCGCGCAAGACTGACGACAAGGCTGGTCTTCTGGTACACGCGTGGTGCATTTGGTACAGGAGGAGCAGTGCGAGTATGCACGTACATCGTCCGCGCCACCGTGAGGAGGAATATGATGCTGTCGAATACAAGTTCCATGGTGACAAACATGGTGGATAGTCGTCCGCTAGACACACGTCAGCCGGTGGTTCGAGATGTAGTGGCCATAAGCACACGCACATGCTTTTCGGCGGCAAGTATATGCAGAAGTGGAACTCGTAGTTGTCCAGTGGTAGTGGTGCGGGTGTAGCGCCGGGTACGGTGTATTGCCACAAGCCAGCAGCAGTTTGCATCGCCAGATATACGAATAGGCCCGCAAGAATGACCTTGTTTCGGTTGTACAACGCATAAATACTGCAATGCATGTGAGATGTTGCTCAATGTGCGCGCAGATAAGGCGTACCGGATGCTCATAAGCATTGCAGGAAAGATGCACAAGGGCATAGAAATCCCAAGACTGAGTATAGGTCAGGCTGTGCGCGCGCTCGGATGACCAATCTACGCACGGAAGGAAATACATCCATTTCCCACACATCTTCCGGGTTAACGAAGGGGAGAAGTATGCGAAGGCAACGACGGCGACGGCCAGGGGTGCATAGTAGCGTACAAGGAAGAAGAGGTAGGTGACTGCGAACAGTTCATAGTCAGCGGTGCAATCGTTGCCCAATATGATCTTATCACGCACCGTAAGTCTTATTGCGCTTCCAGATGACCTGGACCTCAGTTGGAAGAGTGACCAAGTGGTCATAGTATAAAACTACAGCAGCGGCGAGGAAGAAGTACTGGGGAAGCCCGTTAGACGGCGGAGGTTTGCGAGTGTATTCTGCCACATACTTTTCCGACAGTGCTGCCGGCATAGATATGAGCGAATGAACATGTCAGAGCGTTTGCTGGGGGACTCACATCTGGTACAGGTCATCCACTATCTCTTCCAATTCCGCGCCTGTAAGGGCCGAATTGGCCATCTCGACGGTCGCACCGGGGGCAGACGGCCTCGAGGTCGACAGCAGGCGTTCGAAGCAGTGGCGTGCGGTCGCCGGCGGACGACCATGCTCTGTGGCATACTTATGTCCTCGCAGTCTGTCTTCTACCGTCCATCCGATCGGGGTCTGTCATAGATGCGATTTGCATCAACCCAGAAACTCCGGAAAGACGCACGGTCGGATGACAGGGCCCACATTGCGGCATGGTAGCTCCCATGACCGGAACAAGCGCATGTGCGGCTGTATTGCTTGTCGAATGCAATCATTCGTTGGGTTTGATGGATCCAAGACTAGAAGTGCGCCGCCGCAGGAACAGCGCAAAGCTCTGAAGTGGCCTAAGAAAACGAACGCCGATGTCAAGTCGCGTGCTTACTTTGCAGCCTGATGCTTCAGTGCCTTTTTGACTAATAGCGCTCTTAGGGCTTGATTCATTGCGCCACCATATTTAAGCGCCAGCCTCGCGGAAGAACGGTGGCCTGCTACAGCGCTGAAGTTCAAAAGACATGAAGTCGACAACCAGCTTGGATGACAGAAGATCGGAAAGCCAAGGGAGGTTCCCAGGCGGTGCAACCTAGGCGTGGGTCATCATCCGCAGCGGCCTCTCGGTCCGTTCGAGGCGAGCGTCTTGTAAAAGATACAAGATATGCTACGCCCAGAACGCGTGCCTTCGGTGTCATAGCATGCTCTGGGGTCTTGAAGAACCTCGTCGTCGAGTGCTCATAATTCCGCGCCGCACGGTTTGGACGGCAGCTTGGTATGCAGCAATAGCTGAGGGTTTGGAGGCTTATCAGAAGCAAAGACGCGCATGCTCGTGTGCATGTAAGGAGTGCCGTGAGTGTATGACTAGCGCGCGTCGGTGGATGGCGGCGGGCGCTTGGTCGCAACTCGCAGCAGGGCACCACGTCGTCTTCCATTATTGATCCCATCACGGCATTGACCGAAGGACAGCAACTTGTAAGAGAACGTGCCACGAACAAGAAATGTGTGTATGGTTTCAAGAAAGACGGTCTACAGCATGTATCACGGTAAGGTATCATCGCCATCATGGGTTTGGGGCGTCTTTGATCCTCTTGCATCGCGCCTTGTGCTTTCCCTCCCGCCAATCCCTAGGAGTGATGGGGTGAGCTAAGATGTAGGTAAGAGCCACATAGACCCATACCTTTGCTGGCAAGGTCGACCACAGTAACGAGCTTCCCCACATCCAACGCACGACTTCATAGGGCTATCAGACTTCTCGGTGTGATAGCGGCACTCCTTGCAAGAGCAAAACTGCGCGGCTTTCTTCATCTCTCGCTCGTAATCCGCTCTCTCCGCCTCTTCCTCCAATCCGATTGCTTCGCCCAGACTCTTCCACGACGACAAGAGTTTGGAGTGTTTGCGTCTAGCCCGTTCGCCGCTCAAAGAATAGGCGCGGAGGACCTTCAACGTGCGATACCACTCATAGCGCAAGGACTGTCTGAGGGTCTTTCTCAGCGGATTCTTCACGCTGCGAGTGTTGACTTCGCTAGCTATCGTGCGGTAGATCTTCAAGATGTCGGCACATGTGGCTACCAAGGCATCAGAGCATTGTCCGAATGATGCCGGACGTACGACTTACATCCGTCGTCAGATGTTGCTCGAGCGGACGTCAGGACTGAACGCGCCAGAAGCTCGATGAAATCACAGTTTTTGATCAAGTAGCCCGCGCCATCCGATAAAGCCGTACGCTCTGACACCCAACTGCGCTCATGCATTGTCAACGCGGTACCAGTACGAGGACGAAAGAGACCACGCGTACCCGAATAACGGTAGGATGTCCTTGAGTATCTTCCACTGCAGCTCTGCCGAGGCGCTGCCTCTTGTTGCCTGGCGCTCGAGCGCTTCCGTCAGAGCGTCAAGGATACCGGAAGAGACATAGTAGGGGGAGAAGTCCGGATGCATAAGGATCCGCCCGGAGGACATGATGAAGGTGTACAGCAGTTCGTCCACGTAGTGCGGGTTCTCGAATGTGAAACAGAGTCGTGCAAGATAGGTTTCCGCGCCGTATACGGCGGTGATGTCTTCCGAAACAAATTGGAGCATGGACTCAGCAATCTCATCCTGGCTACGCCCCCCGCGCGCCTGGAAGCCGGTATGGATACAAGGGAAGAGAAACTCGCTCTGATGCTCTTCACGCTCCATGTTATCTTCAGCGTCATAGAACCAGGCGAGCAGCGTTAGGCGCCGTAAGTCTTGGTAACCGTCAAGAAGCAGTTCGTCATCAGACCTGAAATGAGTTGTTAGTCGCGTTAGGTTGTAAAGTTGCCGTGTTCTACCTCATCAAAGGATGGTAAACCAAGAGAGTGTGCCGCAACTGTCTGCGGAAGGAATGCGCTGGCACGGGCGAGTATTTCTCCATGGGATGGTCAGGGCGAAAGTATTCATGATGAGCCCAAGAAACCTTCCACAAGACAGAAGCTATCTTCTTCATCTCCGACCAGATTCTCCTGCTCCGCCCCGAGCGAGATTCGGCTGATGCTAAGCTTGCCAAGCCGTCGAACATGCCTAGGATGTTATAGACGAATGCCTACGAGAATGAGTTCTAGCTGAGAAACCATAGGTATCGTCACGCACTGGGGTCTCGTCGAAGAAATCGCTCTCAGTCAAGACCTCTCTGTAAAAAGCACCAAAGCCAGAGTTCACGAACTCGTGGACGAGTGTTGCTTTTGCACTGTCCGTGTCTGAAGCCAGGAATACCTCGCATATGACTTTCGTACAGGCTCCCAGTTCGCGATTGATGCCGCAACGACTACGCGCGTGATATAGCGACTGCCATGTCTCATATACCCCCATCGGTTGGGTCTCAAGGAGAGCATTATAATCTTCGACGGGTGCGAGTGTTAATTCGTTGAACGTAGCTACGACACTGTCAGCATCGGTAGAAGGGTCCTCTGGCGATGCGGTGGCAGCTGCGGCTTGATCGACCGCGCGTGCTCTATCCTTTATTTCCTGCGCCCAAGGGGGGAGCTTGGGCACCGACTCGGATTGAGCCTGGTTCATGTGTACGAGCTGAGCAAACGCTCAGATAGTAAAAAGGAAAGCAGAGTAAAGCGTGCGATGAAGGTCAATACAAGAGGAAGGATAACAAAAAGGACACGATAGCAATGATGGCGGTTCAGACGAAAGACGTGTTCGCCTGCGCGCGGCGAGCTGCAGCCACAGGCGCGCGTAGGCAGCGTTACGTCACGCGTCGAGCGCTTAGGCCGTCACTTGAGCGAGTGCAACTCCAAGTAGACGACCAGCATCCTCGAGCTCGACCACGTTCCTTTCCCACCGCCCTCACCTCGGCGCCTAAGAGATGCTGCAGATATGCCGCGCTGAGGATGGAGTGTCGTTCCAGGTGCGTATCCGAGTTTGGAAAGGGGAAATGAAGTCTCACGAATAAGTGCAGGTGAACGCGACTCTTTGGGATATCGAGAGGTACATGGGAGCCTGACTGCTTCGGAATATTTTCCTCAATAATACCCACAGGTCCGGAAGCTTGGAGGACTTTCTACACGAACATACTGCCGTGGACCCGGATGCAGTACTCGCATATCTTTCGGATGGACGCAGGCTGGGTAACGACAATGTCCGGGAGCTTGCGGGTGCTCCTGACCAGGTGCGGATATTTATGAGAGTTGTCGATTGTCACTCATGCCTCTACACAGGCCATCTATGTCTTCAACAAATTCTATCTCGATGACGACCTCGAGCACGTTCTCCAAGAGCTGTGGCTCGAGCCGCCGTTGCAACCATCCGTACGGGGTATGTTGTCCCGCCCGAGTTTCGAATATTAATTGAGAGAATCACTAGATGAAGTGAACGCCACCCCAAACTTGAAGCCGGCGCAAATAGGCGCCCTCTACCTGCGTGCGGCCCGAGCAAACCACCAGAGCTTGCTACACCTCCTAGACTCCTTGCGCGTGCAACTTGCGGCCCTTCGTATAGCATCAGGAAATCTGGACAAGAACGTTCTAGATTTGAGCGATGTATATGACGGGGTGGCCACGGCGACATTACAAGAGCTCGAACGGCAGAGTGCTCTACTCCTGGGCATTGATGCCGATCTCAACATGATTGACCGGGTGGATGTCCACCGGCAATTCCTGTCGGCCACTATGCAGCGTGCCATCGATCAGGGAGACAAAGGGCGTACTCTGGCCGACTATGTTGCGAGGGACAAGATGCGCCAGGTTGCCCAAACGTGCACGAAGCTCCACAGTGCGTCGAGGGAAGCGAACTACCTTGTCAAGCGTGCTGACGTCCTTGAAAGGCGACCTTCGCCAAAGACAACAGGCTGCTGAGCAAAGCATGCGGCGGTTGAATGACGGGTCTGCAGAAATTCGCTCGAGCCTGAGTGAGAGGCAAGCCGTGGCTTTGCTGGGAACAGTCCGTGGATACTCATGCGTTTGACCAGTCTGATACACGAAGGAGAGGGATACGTCACGCGGTCCCAAGAGCTCTGCGACAAATCCGAGGAGCTGATGCTGACCTTCGAAGGTGGGCGCTCAATGATTCCACGAAGCAGTATCCCTTAGCTCATTTGGATCCAGGTCCCATTGTGGACCCAGACAAGGTGCTCCTCGGTATGGTGCGCAGTTCGCAGTATGAACATGCGTCTAATGCAATTTAGGGTTACGCCAAGTTGACGCAGACATCAGAGATCTTGTCGAGCGTATGACTACCGTGAAGGTTGTGTACTTCGTAACGCCTCGGAATACCTTGCTGACGCGTACACGTAGAACCGTTCATCAGAGCAGTCCATACGTGCCCTTCGTCAGATCAGTCTCTTGAACAACGACCTCGTTCAACTGCCAGACATGCTAGCTGCCTTACAAACGTCTCTCCGGACCAAGAACGCCTTCGCTCACATCCAACGTCTACACAACATGATCTACGCATATGGTGCCACACTCATCGAGATCGTTCGTCGCAAGGAGTTTGCTCGGTTCTTCTACCAACGAGCACAACTCATCTTGGAAGTCATGGCCAAACTCTCGTAAGCCAACTAACACCCTGCATTGGTCATGAACTCACCGTGAGATGTGCAGGAATACGGAGAAGAAGCGTCGGCAGATTCACCGTAGCGAGTTTCACGCTCAATTGCCTTTCGACCTCAAGGGCATGGATGATGCAGTCCCTTCCATCGACTTCACACCCGTAGGCTCCAGCGAGGGCAGCATGTACAATCTGCAGCGGTCGGATGTTGACGGTCAGTCCTCACGGCTGGTCGTGTGGGGTCACACCCTTACTAACCCTCATGATAGATTTCATGCGCGTGTTGTCTGATGTGGAGGCATACGTCGAAACATTACCAGATGGGGCTCTGGCATTAGCATCCCTACGTGAAATCAAGGTCAACCTCGACAGGCTGATTCAGAAGATGGACTCTCTTGAGTCTGGATTCGATCGCATTGCCGAACGTTCATGTACGCCTGCACCGTGCGCTGCCCTCAGATACACTCTAACAGATGACGTAGTGCTATCATCTTCAAAACTTGCTTTATCTCGGCGACGGTGTGGGTAGGCTATGTATCGGTGTGGAGGATCATCCCGCTCATATACGTTGCACAGTATCCGACGCAGATTCGCATGCACTACAAGACCTCACCACCCAACTACGTGACGCCGAAAACGAGAAGGCCATTCAGAGCGCGAGGTTCGAGGCAGAGCGAGCAGCAATGCGCGAAGAGATTGTACGGCTGCGCTCTCAGGTCGACGGATCGACTGATAGCCACGAAGTCGTAAATAAGCTCGAGCGCGATCTGCACTTGGCCCGAAGCCAGCTGGAGAACGAGACGCGCGCGAGACAGGTCATGGAGGGCCGTCATCAGGATCTACTCGCCAACGTCGACCGCCAGCGGCAGGAGCTCTCTGACGCTCTGACGGAAGCTACGACGCAGACAAGAGCTGCTGAGGTCGCACGTCAAGAACTTGCACAAGCTCGCGCTGAGTTCGAGGAGGTCAAGGCGCTCGAGGCTCGGAGTTCAGCGCGTTTGTCAAGCCTATTGGAGGTGCAGGAGACGACGCAGCGTTCGCTGGAGGCCGCACGCGCGCGGGATGAGAATCTTGAGGCCCAGTTCAGTGCATTGCGAGACGAGCGCGAGAGCATTCGCCGCGCACTGGACGATGCCGGGAAGGAGAAGGATCGGCTGTTGCGCCAGCAAGCCAGTGAACACGATCGTCAGATGCGTGACTACGTGGCAGAAGCGGATGGAGATCGTGCTGTACTCGAGCATCAGTTCTGCGAGCTGCGCGCGGAGATTGAGGACATGGAGCGCCAGGTCAAGGAGGCAAACGCACAAGTTGAGATGAAGGAGGCCGACGCCACAGGTCTACGCGAGGAGCTTCACCGTCTCGAAATCGAGATGCGTAATAGTCAAGAAGCAGAAGCCGGTCTTCGCGCCGATCTCAAGGAGGCACGTGCAAGCGCAGCACAGCTGGACGTGCGACTTGAGAACGCCAATCGTTTAGTAGCTCAGCTTCTTGACACCGCACTCGCCTATCGTACCGCGCATTTCAAGGCATTGAACGTAGCCACTGCAGCTGTATCGCACCCAGCAATATCGAAATCTCTCGCTCATCTTGGCGAGTCACCCGGCGTCAATGGTAGCCGTTTGCCCCTCGGACCGCTGGATGAACCAAGTCCCATCGACCCCGCAGACCCTTCCGGCGCTTTGGAGGCACTACGGGCGTTTGACCAAGATCACTTCCTTGAGGCTGTTGCGAAAACGGCGTCCACCATCCGCAAATGGCAAAAGCAATGCAAGGAGTATCGCGAGCGCTCAAAGGGCAAGATCTCGTTCCGCAACTTCGCGAAGGGCGATCTCGCTCTGTTTCTGCCGACGCGGAATTCCATATCCAAGCCTTGGGCGGCATTTAATGGTGAGTGTGTATCTGTATAGCGCGGCATGTATACTCATGCAAGAGGCACAGTATCGTTCCCTCACTACTTCCTGCAGGCGACAGGGCATCTCGCCGAGCAACTTAAGAACAGGGAATGGATTGTCGCCCGCATCACGTCTATCACCGAACGCGTGGTGGATCATAAGGTAGACATTACATCAGAGCTCGACCCTACTTGTACTGATGATGCATGCAGGATCCTACGAGCAATCCGTATGGTCTTGGCGACGGGATCAAGTATTACATGCTCGAGGTCGAGGATTGGACTCAACCGGTCACCACCAAGCGTCGCGCAGGCCCACGCAGGATTTCTTCTGGCGAAACGAACACTGACGGACCTTCGACCCCGCTTACACCTCCAGCCGATAGTCAGGTTGAAGAGATCTTCCCTGAGGCGCGTGGACCCAGCGCGCACCTCTTCCCTTCCCGTTCGAGGAGCAACTCCATACCAATCGCGGGGCCATCCTCCTTGTCAAAACTCCTCGCGCAAGCACCCGTCTCAGATGCAAGTCCTGCTACTGCGCCGTTGGAAACAATCCCCCATTCCCCTATCGCTAGCCGAACACCTTCTCCGTTGGCGACACCCTTTGTCCCTCCTTCAGCCTCTCCGTCTCGAAGCCCAGCTGCACGCGCTCCTTCACCTCCAAACGCTGCTTCTACATCTCAAACGCCATTCCCTACATCTTCACCCGCCGCTCCTCCGACACACACTCTCCCCTCCCCACCCTCACAGCCCGCTTCCCTTCCCAGGAGAATAGCATCATCACCACTTCGCCCTGGATCACGTGCATCTAGGCTCTCAACGTCGTCGGGACGGATTCCGCCTTTTGCGCATGGGGCTTCGGGGCCAGCAACCGTGAAGGGCACTCCAACGACTGCGCTCACTCCAGCCCCTGCGAGCCCTCCAGTTGTGCAGGACACCTCCGCTAGTACGCCTTCACCAGCGGATTCACCTGGAGAAGGCATGATGGCGAGCGTGATCAGCAACGCGCGCAGACGCACTACGTCGTATCATGCCTCTTCCGCCTCTGCTACGTCCGTATCCCCAACCGATCGACGCACAGCGAACGTGAGCGCGAGTGCCAGTACTGGGGGCGCGATGGGCGCTCTCGCTAGCATCGCGAGCTGGAGTCAATCTCTTTCGCGCAAGAAACGGCAAAGCCTCATTGCCGCTCCTGCGCCTGCCGCAGTGAATACGGCTACCCCACCAGTGGATACAGATCTCAGTGTACCGCCTAATGGCACTGCACGAAAGCAGTTGTCCCGCCATGAAGCTTGAATACCAGTTGCCTACGAAAGACTGGTGGCAATTGCCGCTTGAGAGTTCCTATCCATGTTTCCTTGACACATCGCTGTATTCAATCTCCGCTTATATAGGAATACATACTACATAATATACTCGCTGTTGTGATTCACCGTGCAAATTTGGGCATATATGATATACGTTCATTGAATTCAGAGGAGAGAGCAACCTGGCAAAGAAAGCGGCAATGTATAGTACTGTGGTCAGACAGCTCACAACTCCAGAAATCGCGGACTCGCCGCCCAGAAACACCAGGAAACTCTGGGTGCTTTCTATATCACTGGCACTTCATGGAGCAGAAAAGAGGAAGTCTGACAAGACTGGGTTGCGGGTGCGGTGTGTGCGCAACGCGTCAGAGTTTGTCCCCGCCATTGACGAGTCTATTTTGAAGCAGTAGAGGCCGCAGCACTTGCATTGTTCAGCGCACATGCCTTAGTATCGTATTGGGGGCAGGGGTTCGGCGCGTATAGATGACAGGTCAATCTCCTTGTCCTTCTCTTCGTCGACCTCCCCGATGAGGATGCTGCCACGTTTATGTTAGTGATATTACGACGGCACACGATCTCGCAAGGACGTACATCATGTCTCCCTTTACCAAGTATAGTCCTAGTGGCACTTCTTCGACACCCTCGTCCGTACTGAAGACTCGTTCTTTCGAGTCAGAGAGTACGACGTTTGATTTTTGGTCGTAGCCGGCTAGCACGCCCTACTGATACGTTTATTCGCGCGTACTAGGGTGCAATATTCGGCTGACGCACCAATATTGTTCGGCCATCTTGTAGCACGAGCAGGACACGTCCTAGCCGCGTCGTCAGCCACAATAGACGCGCCAGTGATGATGCGCTCACTGTCTACATAGCCCTGGAGGCTGGACATGGTGCGCCTGGAAGACGCGCGGGCCAACGATGACGACGGAACGCGTCGAGCGCGCGTCGTTTCCCACCGTTCAATTCACCGGTCCGACGCGTCCACAGGCGCGCGCTCGGGCTCTCTTCCTCCGCTGATGCGCCTCATGAATAGATACATGTAAAGCCTTATCTTCCCCTTGTCTCTATCTACAGTCTCCGCTGCAGTATAAGCGAACACAAGCCCGTTATTCTGACGCGGTCCTTTGACTTCAAACCCCCGAAATACTCGGGTTCAGCGCAGCAATCCGCTTCCATCGAGGTGACAGGAGCAACGGGACCCACATCGTTCTTCTCCTCCTACCTCGACTTCGCTGTCTACGCATCACTTTCAACGTCTCGCGATGTCGTCGTCGACGAATATCGAGATGGAGAATAGACACAGTCGTGCGGAGGAGTCAATACCCTTCATCGAGGTCGAAGCGCGGAGTAACGATGAGCAGCTGCCGCCACCAGCGAGCGCGCAGTCCTCGAGGCAGGCGGCCCAACCCAAGCTCTCTGTGACTGTCATAGTACCAGTATGGATAGCTCTGTCATCATCGGTGATTCTATACAACAACTATCTCTACAACACGCTGGACTTCAAATATCCGGCAAGTCCCTGTCTGCTCTCTTCACGCCACCTGACTGATGGTTTCTGTGCAGGTTTTCCTCGTCACTTGGCACCTTACCTTTGCGGTAAGTCCTACAGGCACATATTCTCGACTCTATCAGCTCATGAAACCTAATCTACAGGCAATTGGAACGCGGATACTGGCACGTACGACCAGACTACTAGACGGGACGAAAGACGTGCATATGACGAAGGAGCTCCTCTTACGCTCTATCCTCCCAATTGGCTTCCTCTTCTCGGGATCCTTGATACTCTCCAACAAGGCCTACCTCTATCTATCAGTGGCGTACATCCAGATGCTCAAAGCATTCACACCGGTTGCCATCCTTCTGATCTCCTGGGCTTCCAGGATCGCCGAGCCGAATAGGCGTTTGGGCGCGATCGTGCTCATGATATCCTGTGGTGTTGCGCTCGCCTCGCACGGCGAACGACACTTCCACCTCATTGGATTCCTGACACAGGCCGCAGCTGTTGCTGTACGTCTGCCTATTCCCTATACTTGCTTCGGCTTAGACTGACTGACTCGCTCTAGTTTGAGGCATCTCGTCTAGTCATGATACAGATACTACTACACGGACTCAAGATGGACCCACTCGTCAGTCTGCACTACTACGCCCCTACATGCGCCGTGATCAACCTGGCCTTCTTACCGTTCACCGAAGGCCTTACACCTTTCTACGAGCTTGCACGCATCGGGCCGCTGATCCTGATCAGCAACGCGTCCGTCGCGTTCTGTCTGAATGTCGCCGCGGTCTTCCTCGTAGGCGCCGGGTCAGGCCTTGTGCTTACGCTTGCGGGCGTCTTCAAGGATATCCTCCTCATCACGGGGAGCGTACTCCTGTTTGGTAGCCTCATCACGCCCTTGCAAATCGTCGGTGCGTGCTCTTAGTGGTGCCCTATAAGAACGCAAAGTGCTCACGTCCCAGTAGGTTATTCGATCGCATTGGGCGGATTGATACTTTACAAGACTATGGGGTCAAAGTAGATGTTCATCGGTCAAAACCCAATCCACCCATCCGTACGAAACCATATCAACTACCACAATATACACTCATTCTCTTGATCATTACATTGTGGAACAAACCATAAGGCGTTCTCAGGGTTACGCGCCCGCAAATGATGAGCAGACCCTCCTCAGTCGCAGAAGGTGATGGCGAGATTTCCCTGGCGTCGAGATGGGTTATCACGCACGTTGTTCAGGCTGAGATACCACTCACGTTGCTGGCACTGCAGCCGACTTGGACGAATGTGTCCGAGGGTTGATGGAACGCCGTACCACAGCCGCCGTTGTTGCAGTCGGCGCCAGCACCGTCGCATCCGTCGAAGTACCCGAAGCCTGTGCATGCTCGATCAGTTGTGCTTCTAAGTCGGTCTTCGACTGACCTGTAGTGACGCTGAAGGAGTGCGGCGGTATGAGAGACAAATCGGTGCTGGAAGCGCCATTGATAAGCGATGTCTCGACTAGGGGCGAAGGTCAGTTAGGGTGAAAGCGGCCAGTTGTTATACCCCTTACCGATCAGGCATCCTTCGCCGTTCAAGCCACAGCCACCAGTCTGCAGGTAAGCGATCAGGCCTCTCGCTTCACCTTCAAAGGTGACGCCGCCGCCAGTCGAGAGAATACCACCACCTGGGGCGACCAGGGTCGGCTATGTCGAAGACGCACTCAGTCGTCACACAGAACGCGATATGATGAGTAACACACCGTTCCAAAACCACAGTTGTTGGTGAAGATTATAGTGTGTTGCTCAGCCCTCACCGCCGCCAGAGCAGAGAGCACGATGGCAGCTGAAGAGAAGAGGGTTTTGGTGAACATGTTGGTTGTTAGAGGGCGAAGCACTGAAGTGGAGGCTGCTGAAGGATTGGGTATGACTTTGGTAGGCTATATACCTCTCGACCGAAAGGCACCATCATCTTGACAGAGATCCCCTACGGTCCGGTGGCTGGGTCGTACTGTCCAGGCATTATAATCAGCCTAACTGTGTGGTCACCGAACCTTTGCTTGTGCTCAATACACCCCACGAAAGTTTTGAGAGTGTTGGTGAATACCACGCACTCTAAGTTTCCGCTGACAGCGGGGGAGAAAGTGGATGTGCATCATGCAGCGGGGCGTGACTTGAAGACCGACGCACTTCGTGAACACTGCATCAACAATCAGAACGCAGGAGCTCGATGCGAGCGTACTCGTCGAACCGGTGCTCTCCCGTCTTATGAACAAGCCATAAATTGGCGACTGCTTTGGTAGCTGGTGGCACATCTCATCGCAAAGCGTGAGACGTCGATACACGAGAATAGAATAATATGCCTCTACAAAGCACCTGACCTAGTCTTTTGCGCTTCGAAAGCTTGGGGCCGTCGGCCATTGAGCACAAGAAACGGGAAGCTTCAAACGAGGGATGTGCGATTGACTTCTGTCCTTTAAGAAACACGCCGACGTGAAAGTAGAGGTCAAACCTAGTACTGAACGTCAGCCATTCCCAACGTCCGTCTACACTCGGATGTGTCCTCAACAACTAGTAGGCGACACATTGCACCCGTAGGTAGATAGAACCTCGTTCCACCCCATTGCAATGACTGCCGTGTAACGGTAAGGTTGCACTAGGTCCTGCGAAGCATTGTGTGGGGATAGACGAACCCATCACAACCCACGAGTGGGGTGGTGACTGCCCCAGAGAACACCGAGAATGATATACAATTGAGATGGAGTGAAGCTAAGTCACCGTAGGCCCTGTATTTGTTGGAGACCCAAGTCACCTGTTGACCGGCGAACTGCGTACTAGCGGGTCAAACTGCCTGCGTGAGGGAAGAGTCTCATGAAAATCAGTCCAGGTACCTTGATACTGAGGTACACAGCAAAATACTTGATCCGACGGAGCATCGTGAGGTGTCGATCATTACGCAGAGTCAGAGTAGCATCCAGAGGGTAGTCTGATTATACGCCAAATGCTCATTGAACGCTTCTACCTAGTACATCGCCTGTACCCAAAACTCGTCCGACAACCTTCCATCGCCAGTCCTCTATCCTCCTCAGGGTCGATACGCTTTGCGACTCCTACGGCATTTGGATGGAAATCGGAGTCTCTGAGTATCTAGGTGAGGGTGTCGGAGTTGGAGGCGGCGCGGGTGTGGTGGGTCATAGAGGGACATTTTTGTTGTGTGTCGGTATACGCGAAGAGGGCGAGCTGAGCCAGGGACATGTAATGCGTGACGGCAGATAGACAGGCTGAAAATGATCACTTTAGGGTCAATATCCGCAACACACGTAGGCGGGAGAAAAGCGCACCATCGAGCCTCCTGGGAGCACCAACATCAGCCCATATCTCGCTTCTGCGTTGTCCTGGCGTCGTCGTGCTAAGTGTGTCGAAGCTTACGCCTCGCAATGTGGAGAATGGTCACGACATAGCATGCTGGGCAAAGGGATGCTTCGTCTGGTGTTCGGGGCTACATGACAGTGGCGAAAGAACCAGCAGCCTGTACGGCAACGCCGAGCTCGCCGCGACCGAAGTCGCGGTGGTGTGACTTACGCGAGAGCTTGTGCGTCGAGTCGCTCTCGCTGATGTCGCTTGTAGAGTCAAGTATAGATCGTAGCTTATGGCTACAGTAATCGGATATTTCAACAGCGCGTAGATAGGTACGTAGAAAGACGTAATCGTCTAAGAACAGACCGGCATCCTCACGGACGGGAGCGCGGAGTCAGTGCTCTACCTCGCTCACGAGCAGAAAGTGATTTCGACGTTTCCCTACATCTCGTGTTCAGTGTCCAGCCCGTGAATGCACCTTTACAAGTGCTTACGCCGCTGACTAGGCAATGCAGAGGTGCACCCGATACCCCGACGCAGGAAGGTGTGTTGCAGACTAGTTCAGATCATGAGTGTGCGATGGAAAGAGCTATATATGTTTCATACCCGACGCGCTAGCACTCAGAGAGACGTTGAGATCTGATTCGTGGTCAGCATGAGCGCAGTCTTCAGGGTGTGTATTCCCAACCGCAGCAGTTCTCCCCGTTAGAGCCGCAGCTGCCCGTTTGCAAGAAGGCAGTCGCGTTGATGGGCCCGTTAATTGTGAAGGCCCCGCCTGTTGAGAGTACAGCACCGTGGGAGACAAGGGTAGGCTGCCGTATTTTAAGATGAATCCAAAAGCTCCGACTTGCGAAGGACGTACCGTTCCGAAACCACAGCGGTTGGTGAACGTGATAGTGTGCGATTCGGCGCGCACTCCCGCGACGGCAAGGAGAGCGAGGGCACAAGAAGAGACTAGACTGAATGAGAACATCAAGAACGGCCTTGGGTTAGGAATAGATGAGGGAACTGCTGGACGTTGCGCTGACCCGTCTTCGCATGATATACACTCTCAGTACGTGTAGATCGCGGCCCGTACTTGTCGCGTGTGAGTGCGGGGCGCCCCATGGCCCATCCCTGCATCAAAGTAGAATGGGAACAACGGAAGAATGTTGTTCACAAACCACGCATGGTGCATACACACGACACGTTGCAGCGCCCAACAATGGTAGCTGGGCCAGCTCTAGCCTTTAAAGGCTCTCGTAGACCTTGTTCTGAACAAGGAGGTTGGATCACCATTCGCAGACTAGGCACCGGCGCTATCCCCAGCCATGCGCTCGCGGGGACCAGTCGCCTCCTGTACGCTATGTCGCAATCCTGCACGCTGAGCGTATGAATGTACTCGAAAGCCAAGAGTCGTCTATGGCGGTGTTAGACGGGTGGAGTTCACATGCAGCAGCATGCAGCGGTGTAGAGCCCTATCACGGTCCAACAAGACTTCTCGTTGCGAGTGATGATCACCTGCATTCAGGAGTGGCGCAGTATCGTGTGACGCCGGAGTTGAAAGTCCTCAGCCGATGCCTTCAAAGTGTATCCATACAATACCGGCATTTATGAGACTCGATCAATATCCTTCATACAGTCTGCATCATGATACGGGAGGCGTCGGGTACCTCACGCCTACATACTGTATAAGTCCTCCGTAAGGCTAGGAGACACGTCTAGGGGCTTGAACAACAGGATTCGCTGTCTACCGCACAGGTTTCCGACTGCCACGGGTCCTAGCAACGTGGTTCACAATGATGCAGGGGCTGGGCTGGGACTTGGTTCGGCGACGACGGCGGCCATGCTGGGCACGGATACAAGTTTCTAGAGATTGGTATGATGAACCCAGAGCAGACGTGTCCCCGATAGAAAGTACTATATATGTATATGTCGATGAGAGAAGGCAACTTGCAATCGCGCGTTGGCGCGTCCACGGACCACGAGTTCTTGAATCTTTCACCGGGGATCGCCGGGAGCTGAAACGCGGCGGCGTGATTTCCGCGCTTGCTCTTCAGCTATTCATGTATCGCAGGCGCTGTCGTGTATGGCGCATATTTTGACCCTTTGCTACACAAGCCATATCAAGGTGCAGTCAATATATAGTGAAACTCTGTCTATCAACATTGGACGGTGCTATACATGGGGCGATGGTCAAACATTGGTACAATGAAGGGCCTATCGGAGTTTACGCAGACTGAAATTCGTCGCTGCCTGTACTGAGTTAGCGAATCTGGTAACTTCTCAGTCACAGAAGGTGATCGCAAGGTCAACCTATACCATTGACTCAGAAATGTGCGCATGACATAAAGATGGAGACGACCCACGTTGTTGGCCGAGCATCCGACTTGCTTGTACGTCTGGCTGGGATCGTAAAACGCGGGATAGCACCCATTGAACGTGCAGTCTGCGCCAGCACCGTTGCACCCATTGTAGTAGCCGAAGCCTGCATACTTCAGTCCCCGTTATGAAACAGACATTAGGGCTACGACTGACCTGTAGTGATCTGGAAAGCGTGGGGAGGGATAAGGCTGAGATCGGTGCTGGATGCACCATTGACCAGAGACGTCTCGACTAGGAGACGGTTGTCAGAAACGCAATGGACTTCAAACAGGGCCGAGATATCACCTATGATGCAGTTCTCTCCGTTTAATCCGCAGGGTCCAGTCTGGAGGTACGCAATTGCGCCTCTGAGTGGTCCGTTGATAGTGTATGCACCGCCGGTCGACAGAATCTGGCCATTCTGACTGACAAGGGTTGGCTGAAGGGGATTGAGAGCATTATAAGCGCCTGCTCGCCAGGATATGACAACTAAACGCACCGTTCCTTTGCCACATTTGTTGGTGAAGGTGATTGTATGTGTTTCGGCGCGCACGCCAGCAACGGCGACAAGAGCGACGAAGACCGAAGAGATAAAGGCAGCGTCGAACATAGTTCTGGGTTTGGGGGAAAGGGGTTTGAGTGACCACTGAAACTGCTTGTCTGTCTACTGTGAGAATATATACTTCTCAGATTGAATGCGGGTATACTGTGCGGCCGTACGGGCTGTTTGAGGATTCGAACGGCACGCAGAGCGGGACGCCCAATCGCATCGTAATATCGCTAGGCCTTTATTGTTCGTATTTGTTGTATCCCGCCCTGTGTTAGACTCAAACCAGCGGCAGAGGGAATGATGCACAAGCATAAGCACATGTTGCGGACGGGGTACGCAAAACACGTCGACAGCGTCCTCAACAAAAACTGTCGGGATGAAGCAGAAGCCATCTAACTCGTCGAGTAGTAGCACACCACCCGGCCCAGGTATGCTTTTAGGCCTTCGTGTAAGCGGACTGCTGGAGGGATGCGTGATGCCGCGGTTGTCGGTACACGTGCTCGTGGCTAAGCCACTGATCTCTACAAGCCAGGTTATGATCGCGCCTGACCCAGTGAATTGACCGGCAAGTCAACTAGTCCTGCGAAACGTTGTAGGAATAGGAACACCAACGCCTGTGCCGAACTTGGACGTGGGTTTACCTACTTTGAACATTGCTCGCGGTCTCGGCAAGCCCGGCACCGGATGTCATTCCACCCCTGTGGCTTGCAGCACTACAGCAGTCCATTCCTCCCCTATGGAATACGAGATACAAGGTGAGGGCGCGGGGCGCGCTCGATGACAGGTTGCGCCGGGCGTGATCATCGAGATATCGACTATGAACGAGAAAGTGCATAAGGTTGCCCAGAGTGTTTGCATTTGCGGCTTCTATGGCCGTCTACGGAGGTCCAAGCCCGTACGTGGGAGTTCTGAGAGCCTATCCTGATGTTGCGAGGATGAAAATGATGGAATACATGGTGCGAGCCCGTGGAAGGACGAGACAACCCGGAGACAGCGCGCCTGTACCGCGTCGTGAGATCAGCGATCAATCGCGGTGGCGTGACTTGTTAGTTGACTTGTGACGCTCAAGTTGAAAGTTGACCGCGACGAGAATATCTGCCTTTGCCGCTCATAGCTTTATTGAAACTTATCACGATGCACTTTTCCATGAGTCATGTAGTCGGAAATGACAAGGTGAGGCATGCTGTTGCCCTCACACTGGTCATCATCGAGCAGTCTATAGATTCTCAGGGGAAACGAACGCCGCATGCATTTTGAAAATATTGTAATACATGATAGACTACAGACTACATTACCTAGCACATATACAGACTTGTCAGATCAGCTGAGGTCGGATATCCAGATGATGTCGACCCGGACGGGCCGACTGGCACGGCTATCAGGGTACACAATCTCAATCGCAGAAAGTGATGGAAAGATCGACCTAAGCGGATGTCAGACACGCAAGCAAGGTATCATGATACACAATAACTCACGTTGTTTGTCTCGCACTGAACCTGAACGTATGTGTCCGTAGGTTTGTGGAACGCAGTAGTGCAGCTTGGGCCGGTGCAGTCTGCGCCAGCACCGTTGCAGCCATTATAGTAACCAAATCCTATAGCCACATCAGCTCAGGCGCGATTGATGCAAAAGAGCGCAACACTAACCAGTCGTGACGCTGAACGCGTGCGGCGGAATCAGCGAAAGGTCCGTGCTGGATCCTGCGCCTGGCGACGGGGGGTTCCTAAGGGTTGTTTCGACTGTAGTGCATCATCGTATCAGGCAATACGCAATCTCAAGGACTTGGCAGAACTCACCAAGAAGACAGTTCTCTCCGTTCGCCCCACAGCCGCCGGTCTGAAGATAGGCAATCGCGCCGATCAGAGGTCCGTTGATGGTGTACGCGCCGCCTGTAGACAGCACTGCGCCGTTCTGGGCACGAAGAGTGGGCTGTACAAGAGATACAGTCAACCTCTGAAAGAAGTAGAGTGTAGTTGGAAAGGCTGACCGTTCCGCGGCCGCACTTGTTGACGAAAGTGATTGTGTGCGACTCGGCGTACACGCCGGCAACAGCGGCGAGGGAGACGATAGCGGAAGTTATAAGAGAGGGAAAGAACATTGTGGATGTTGGCTGCTGAGTTTCAAGAGGGAAGAAAGCAGTAGCGGTTGGCTGCTGGTTGGCTCAGACAGTACACAGCCAGTATATATACCTCTCGGACTGTCTGTGGGCACATGGTCAGCATACTATAACGAGTCGACTGGGAGCGGTACTTACATTGAGGACGGGCCGCCCTACAGTCCGTCAATACCTGCAAACGGCCAGATCGCCCGGTCCGAATCGAGGTCATACCGAGCCTCACGGAGCACGCATCTTTACTGGGAATGCAGGTATATGTCAAAGCTCGTGAGGTTTGGGGAAGGCCCTCGCCATTCTAGTCGTCCAAGACGCTCAGCTGAGCTGCCGGTATCCTCATCAGTCCATCGACTGGCAGCGGACGCTCGTTCCGAGCTCCCGCTCATAACGGGATGAATACAGACGGCTACGAGTCGGTGAACTAGGCTGTTGGCGCCGCTGTCAAATCGTGGAAATAGCGGGCGGCGGTGCACGCGCTCGATGCTGAGCCTGATCCACAACGCAGTGGTCACGCTGTATCCTCTGACACTACCCGCACCCTGCTGGGTCTCCTCAAAGACGATGGCGTCGATGGGCATCAAGAGGCCGGGTCGAAGGGCGAAGACGACGCGAACTGCCGCACGTCCTGGAGGGATAGTGGTGACGAGAGCTGGGCACATATCGGTAAAGCTGCATAGCGCGTGCGAAGGGCGGGACCAGCCGCTGATGACAGATATTTTGACAGCTGGGAGAACGTGCGTGGGCGCCGGGATCGCAGCGTCGCCGGGTCTGGGGATCGGCGGTGTCACGAGCGCTGTCTTGCTTACATCCCTAGTTCATTGACCACACTCTTATGGGTGCAGAAGGAGTTTCAGAAACGGAGATACGACCGTCGACCGTGCATGGGAGGACGAGACAACCCGCGCATTCGACCCGCGCCGGATGCCGCTGCGCCGGCCATCAAAACACGGTAACGTGACTTCGCGCGTCTACACCTTTGCAAATGAGATTGATGGTAGACGTCCTTGCGAATCGTGTACAGGTTATATAAGGCGCACCCAGACATACTATTAGGTACATTCGAAAACTTTGCCTTCCCTCACAATTCCAGTTTATGGGCTCCCTGAACGGCGCCCTCAACATCGTCGGGGGCCCGACAATCGCAGCAAGAGTCACCTCAGTTACAGAAGGTGATCGCAAGGTTCTCCTACGCCAGCCGTCAGCATTGAATCTTCTGTAAAGGGAGTAAGATGAACCTACGTTACGAGCTGTGCATCCGACTTGAACCTGGGTATCGGTGGGAACATGGAACGCAGTGTCGCAGCCCGCGTTATTACAGTCCGCGCCAGCGCCGTCGCAGCCGCCGTAGTATCCAAAGCCTAGGATGTACTCCATTCAGTACGTGATTCTCGGTCATCATAGCTCAACAGAGACTTGCCAGTGGTTACGCTGAACGCATGGTCCGGGATCAGAGTAAGATCTGTGCTCGATGCGCCATTGATCAAGGTCGTCTCGACGGCTGCGAGTCAGACAGCTCAGAACACGAACAGTGCGAGAACGAATAAGAAAGACGCACTGAGGCAGTTATCACCGTTCAGCCCACAGGCGCCGGTCTGTAGGTAGGCAATGGCGCCCACGATCTGTCCGTTGGCGGTGTACGACCCGCCGGTCGAAAGGATGGCGCCGTTCTGACTGACGAGAGTTGGCTAAACGAGTGTGAGGGCTCTATCTCTGTCCTCAGTCAGATGTAGAGACTGCGACGGACCGTCCCGAAGCCGCAGTTGTTGACGAATGAGATCGTGTGGGTCTCGCCATGCACGCCTGCGACAGCGACGAGAGCGATGGCCAGGGAAGAGAGGAGATGAGTGGTAGATATCATGTCGATATTGAATGTGCTGCTGGATAATGAGAGTATGGAAGGAAGCGTCGCAAAGGTCGCTGAGGATGTATAGCCTGTTCAGTCTACCATATATACCACGTCTGGCTCAACGGTGCAGCATGACCGGGCCGCTGCATTGGGAGAAACGAGGGCTTGCATCGAAAACGGGACGCCCCACGCTGACAGCCCTCAAGACAGGCCCGGAGAAAGTACACATACGAGTCGCGAAGTATACATAGAACCACAAAAAGGACGTCATCTGAGGATCACTTTACAAGGATGCGCACATCCGAGGGCACGACTTCCCGCTGATGTTCACGTAAGCGCAGAATGCGTGTACACATGCACACACGTTTGAGCGACCACCGCATGGCGCGCTGATACTCCGTCAGCACCGCCGTGGTCATGCGCTGCATATAATCCACATATAACTCAAGAACATGTCAAAATGAGGAGCTGGCGGCGGCAGACAGATCAAGGGCAGGCGGGAAGCGCTGATCATCGAGCGGCGCCGGTCAAGCCGAGGTCGAAGTTAGAATACTGTCCTCGGGGAAGAGCAACGCGCGAGTTCATGGAAGCACGCATGTTCCGTTCTTGAAACGACAGAGCGAGATATTATAGAATATCTGTGCAATTGCTCGTTAAGATGCAGATGCCGTGTTCGTAATCGTGGAAATCCGATCCTAGTATGCTCCCTACGCGACATTCCCCGAAAACGTCTACTTCCCAGCAGCCCTCATCATGATCTCAACAGCATTCAACGCCTCCTCCCTACTCATCCCACTCAGATCCAAAAACCTATCCGCGTATCTGACCGCGACGCTGGACGCATTCTGCACCGCGCTCGGTACCACACTCTGCACGAGCGCGTTCGCGTTGGGAGTCGAAGAGGGAGTACTTGAGGCTGCATATCGCATCAAAGCGAGCGGACCGCGGACGAATGTCGAGTGCGGGATGGGAGAGTTGGCTGTTGTTGCGTGCACAATAAGACGCGCTACGACTTCTCCTACTTCGACGAGACATGCCGCGACGATGAGCCTGCATGAAATCGTCAGCTCGTAGTCGAGATAAGGTAGTAAGAGATGAGACCCACCAGATAATGATGATGGTAATCCTCTCCATAGCACTCCCATTCAAATGCTCATGAATCGCATCCAACAAATCCCGCGCCCCCGCAACCCTCTCCTCCACGCCCCTCACGCGCTCCCCAATCTCAAAGTACTCCCGCACCGCATCGTACAGCCCGCGCAGGCTCGCTTCTTCCCAGAACATGTCGGGCACGTCGAGCACGTTGCCGATGAGGACGACGTCGCGGCGCAGGCGGAAGAGGCGGCCGGTGAGGCGCATGGCGTTTGTGCGGGAGATGGAGAGTTTGCCTTCGAGCGCTAGGGTGCGGGGGATGGAGGTTGTGGCTGGGTCGGAGAGGATGGCCGTCGTGAGGGACTCGTAGTACGCCAATAGCGTTGACTGAGCCAGAGCATGTGCAATCGAGAGCGTGAGGAGGTGCGAAGGGTTCTTGAACGTGAAAAAGTCGTTGTATATCCGCGGACTCGGCACGCTCCGGTCATACGTATAATGCAGCTCCTCGACCTCCCACTTCTCCTCCGCCCTTGGCTGCCTCAGCGCGCCCGCATTCGCGATATCGTCCAGTATACTCCGCTCCTCCTCCTCTTGCAGTCCGAAAAAGACGACGACGCCGTAGTCGAAGAAGACGACTTCGGCTGTGGAGGATGTGTCGACGAGCGCGGCGGAGGAGACTGAGGGCGAGCCGTGCGCTTCTTCGGCTGCGGCGAGGAGCGCGGTTTCCATTGCGGGCGGGATAACTTCCACGACGGTGTCGACGTCTCCTTGCGCCAGCCCCGCCGGCACCTCCTCTGCCTCAGCTTCCGAAACGAGCAACGGCTCCGTATCCGTTCCCAAACCCTCATCAGTATGCTCCCGCGCCTCCTCCTCCGCCCTCGCTTTATTCCTCAAATCTTCAGGACTCCCGGCGGCAATGTACCCGTCCTCGACGTTGAACGCGCCCGATTCGGGGTCGGCGCGGGCAAAGTACGTGCCCTGGTAGCCGGACTCTTCTGCTTCTGACATGTGCGTTTGGGCGGCGGTGTGCTCGGCTTCTGTTGCGTGGGTCGAGGAGCGGATGTTCGAGGCTGGGCCGTAGCCGGGGAGGAGTGGCAGGTTGTACATCTATAATTCATTAGTGTTTGAGAGTATGGTGAGGAGGGTGGAGTGTACGTACGGCGTAGAGAGCATTATCGTAAACACGTGGATGAACATTATGTTCTCGCTTCAAGAAGCTACTGGCCAGCTTGATCCTGACGCCCTCCGCGACGCCATACGCCGTGATCCGTCTGAAACCCTCCTTGCGCCTCTCGGCTTTACTCATCCGCTCAGCGGCGCTTTTACGCTCGCGCATGCGTATACCAGCATCGGTTGCATAGCCCAACACATCTTCAGACAGTAGAGGCTTAGTCTGAGGATCCGAAGGAAGCTCGACGAGCTTCTGAGTAGCCTTTGACGTGCGAGTCGTGATTTTAGTCTTCGGCCGGCTCGGACCGGACATCGAGGTCGAGCGCTGAGGCACAGAGAGTGGCAGAGATAGAGAAGGCCTGCGCGTAGGCTGGACGCGCGGGCTCGGGCGGGTATTCGGGCGCGACATGGCTGGACGCGAACGAGGAAGGAGGGCGAATAGGGGCTATGACGACGGTTGAGACATCACGTGTGTTGTCGCACGCTGCAATGTTCTCTTCCCCGACACGCGACGCGACGCGCGCTTGTGTTCTTTCCAGCCATGCAGGACGACGACATGAGCTTGGACTTTGGCGCGGTGAGCACACAGAAAGGATACTTTTATGATATAATACTCAAACTTCATACGCAGCCGTCACTGCACCCGCCGCCCGACTCTTCCGCGCCTCCCGCGATGGACCTATTGTCCTACTTTGACCTCACGCCCTCGACATTCCCCTTCGCCGGCTCGAAACCGACCGAAATTGAGCACCGGCGCGCGCTCATGTCCGACCTGCTGATCTACGACATCCTGCTCCAACACGGCGGCATCAAATCGCCGCACGCGCTCTGGCCACCGCACTCGCCGTCGGGCCTCGAACAGCTGCTGGACGCCATCCAGGCCTCCTCCTACGACTCGCTCAAGAACGACTGTCTCGTCTACTTTTTGTTAAAGTGGTACTGCGACGGGCGCGAGACGGGGTTCGCGGAAGACGCCGCCATCCCGCCGCAGTTCGTCGCGCTCACCGACGCGTACTGGCACCTCGACTCGGGCCTCGACGTCCAGCGCGCTATCCACCTCCTCTCCGACCGCCGCGTCAACCGCGAGCATTCCTCCAAAATAATACAAGCTTTATCACTCTCGCCCAAATCCACCGCGGACAGCCTGGTCGTCCAATTCGTACAGGTCGTCAAGCCGGTCCTGGTTGAGCCGCCGGAGATCGAGGCGTACGGGCTGGCGCTGGCCAGGACGGATTTCAACGGGGCGTGGGGGTACCAGCGGGCGTTCGAGGAGGGGAGCGAGACGCGGGGCGTGCTGCTGAGGCGGATCGTGCAGAGCTGTGTCGCGCCGGTCAACCAAACACAAATAATGGCGCTGTACACCGTGCCCTTCACGCCGTACGAGCAGTCGACCGTCGAGTCCCTCGCCCTGACTTCACACCCGGATATCCCCGCGAGCGCGCAGAGTATACTGGCGGACCTGCTCGTCGCGCGCCTGATCCAGTCGGGCCAGCTGGCAAAGGCGGTGCTGATGGACAGACGGCTGAGGTCCGCGCCGGGCGTGCCGCCGCCGAGCGAGACGCGGAGAGCGATGGTCGACGACGCGCTCGCGTGTTTGCCCGCGGTGGAGAAGATGGTACTCGACGACCAGATAGCCGCCTTGCCGCCCGCGCCCGCCGCGCCGAAGAAGCAGAGGGAGCCGACGCGGGACGTGTCCATGTCGTGGGAGGAAATCCCGCCCGCCAAGTCGCCCGCCGTTGTCGTGCCCGAAAAGGAAAGGCCCGTCGAGAAGCCCGCGCAAGCGCCCGTGTCCGTTGCGCGTAAACCGCGTACGTCATATGGCTCGCCTGCTCAGCCTGTTACTATTTCCGGTCGCAAATCCTCTGCGTTCAACGCTGCCAACGCGCCGTCTTCGCCGTTTGCGCCGCCCGCCGCTTCGTCGCCGAGACCTCCCAGCACCTCCAAGGCCGGCTCGTACCTTGCATCTGCGCAAGCGACGCCTGCACCTACAGCGCCAGCGAACGAGAACCCATTCGCGAGCACCTCAAAGCCGCCCTCGAACAGCCTCTTCGGCTCGATATCCGCCACCACCGCAAACGCCAACGCAACAGCTAAAGCGCCCCGCCTCTCATTCGGCACCACACCTCTAAACGCCTCGACCAGCGCCTCCGCCCCCGCGTCCAAACCCAAATCGGCATTCTCATCGTCCACATCGTCAAAGCCCGCAGGCAGCCTCTTCAAATCGACAACAACGAGCACGCCCGGCTTTCCGCTCGGCGCTTCGCGCGCTGTTTCAGCCAGTCGCGCGCCGAACGCCTTCTTCAACCCGCCGCCGCCGCCAACGATTGCGAGGCCGGTGCTGGAGCATCAGGATACGGACGATATCGATGCGTTCCTCGCTGCGGGGTCGACGCAGGTTTCGGACCGCGAGACGTCGCCCGTTCCCGCGCCCGCGCCGGTGCAAGAGGCGTTCTCTGAGCCCGAGGAAGAAGAAGAGCAAGACGAGCTCGAACCTGAACCCGAGCCCGCGCCTCGCCCGAAGAGGAAGTCCAGCGCAGCGTCCAAGATACCCGTCGCGGCCAAACCCAAGACGCGCCGCAGCACGATCAAGAGTCAACATCGCGAGCCGCCGAGCCCGTCGAGCAGCCCGCCGCCGAGGAAGCGGACGACGCGTGCGCGCAACGGGACGGCGAGGGCGCCGAGGATGAGTATCCCCGGTGCGTTTGAGGTGGACGGGGGCGGCGATACCGAGCCGGAATCAGGACATGAAGAGGAGGAAGAGGAGGAGAAGGACGAGGTTGCCCCACTGCCGGAGGTGCCGAGCCCGGTCAAGAGACGCGCTACGCGGTCAAGCATGAGCGTTGAACCTACGCGGCGGAGCTCGAGGTTGAGCGTTGCGAGTAGTTCGCCGGAGCCGGTTAGTAAGAGTCCGGTTAAGGGAAGGAGGAAGGGGGCTGCTAGAGCGGGCGGGGCGGGGAAGGAGAAGGAGAGTACGAGTGCGGGGAGGAGTACGAGGGCTACGAGGAAGCGGTAGAGTGTACGCGGTTGCTTGAGGTGTCTGTACGGGTCGATGATATGATGATTGCTCTTGGGATGATATGTATCGGGTGGCTCGTGTGCAAGTTATTTTGTCTGTTCCTACCAATACTCTATCGCCTGAAAGATACTTGGGAACAGTGAACACTGTCCGGGCGCAAGCTCGGTGATGGCCGCTCGGGCAATTCCTCCCACGTTTCGAAAGCCAAATAATGTACTTAGACTACTACCACCACTTTACTGGTCCCCACATCCTTGGTACCAGGCCCCCGCAGGACCCCATGCTCATGGGCGCTCTTTCGGCTTTCGCACCATCGCACTCCATGGCTCACGACGGATACTTGATGGGCACGGTCATACACCGCCCAGGTTGTCCTAGGCTCACAGCGCCTATTCCCGATAAGCAATGCAACATGCAGATGCCACTTGCCGAACTGCAACCTGGGTTCGATCCCGACGATAAATCTCGCCCATGCATCGAGGTTGGAAGATGAGGAATACAGTCAGTGCGCTGGTTCTACTCGCCGGGACGGAGGAGTTTGGGGGTGGTGAAGGGAAAGGAGAGTACGAATGCGAGGAGGAGTACGAGGGCGATTGGGAAGCGGTAGGGGGCGTGTATGTGGTTGATCTCTGTCTCTGTACATACATGCCGGATGTCTCGCATGCAGGCTATACAAAAGTGTGCGCGTGTCTGTTCCTGCCAGTAGTAACTCTATCGCTTGAACACTAGTGTCTCGGGTCGTTCGTGGTCCGCACCGCGTCCGATGCGTCCAGTTTCCGTCAGTCGCCGTTGCGACAACAACAGTATAACAGTAGAGATAATCCTGACGGACTGTGGCCAAAAGGGCAATATTCGAGCGGAAGTTCGGATGATGGCCGCGCAGGCGACCTCCCACGTTGCGAACAACGAACCCACTTACACCTCCACCGCCACCTTACAAGTCCTCACATCCTACAGGTAATCTCAGGTTCACAGAGCCTACTCTTGATAAGCAATGCAGCACGTATATGTACACAGTGGGCGCAAAAATGCTCCTCCAGGTGTCAGTTCAATCATAGCGTAGAGCACATAAGACTTTATGTAGCGTAGTGCGACATCATACTTCGAGCGGGTCAATGGCAGTGCCGGCCTTGGGTTGGAACCTGGGGCTGTGTGAGCCCGAGTATAAATCGAGGCGCCCTGTGCCGCAGTGGTGGTCTCGCCTTTGCTTCCCGCCACCACTGCTCACACATACTGGAAGTCCCTGTACTATCGTCAGTAGCTCATCACCCTTTATCTTATCGGTAATACTATCTTGCACAATCTTGCAATGGCAACCCTATCGCCTGCAACACCTAGAAATGTTCACGACCAGTCTTCGACCGCGCCGATCGAGGTCAATAACCCAGAAGACGCGTTTCGCGAACTCTGGTCGCAAGCTCTACAAAAGTTTGAGAAAAGCGTTGCATGGAATCCGTCTCAGTGGCAGTCTATGGTCCGGCGTATGGGCCAGTGCCGCGAAGCCGAGGACGTTTGCCGAATTCTGGATGGGACAATGCGGTCGTTCGAGAGTTTCCGCGGGTCTGAAACTACTTGGGGGAAACTGCGGAACAAATATCTCAAGCCAGCCATCGAGGTTTTGCTTCTTTTCAACGATGCAATCGCTGAGACTGCTGCTTTCTTTGTGCGTACCTTAAGTTCGACACTGCGGTTCACAACTGACGACTTGATGCAGCCGGAGGTGCCCGGAGGAAAGGCAATCTTTGCCGCATTCGGCGTCGTCCTCCAGGTGCGCATGTCTGCTGCGCGAAGCATGTTTGCATGTTGATTGCATGTAGACAACCAAAGGCGTCAGCGCATACTGTGACGCGCTCGTTGTCCTCTTCGAGGAGCTGAACCTATTCTTGGAGGCTCTTCGTCCTCGGCTGCTCGCGCCGTCAAGTCTGGGGCCGGCCTCGAAAACGATAGCCATTGCGATACTGAGCCATTTGCTCGATGTTGTCGTTCACGTAGCGAAGATCCTTTCCAAGGGTTCCTGGCTTGGTCGCCTGTGTAAGTGATTACACAGGATAGCGCTAACGAGTTGTATCTAATGCTCTACAGCACTGTATGGAAGAGTGCTCGTGAAGGATACGACTGTGCAAGATGCTTTACGGCGCATTCGTGCGCTGACGGACCTCGAAGTGCGGGCCATCGTCAGCGAGATACGTGTGGATACGTCAGACATCAGGACTGCCGCTTCGGATATGCGCGATATCACCAGACAAACGCAAAAGGACGTAGCCCATATGCAATCTACCGGCATACAGACCAAGGAGATCACGACCCGGCTGTTGTCCGAGTTCCGTGCGCTGCAGCAAGGTCAGTTCTTGTCTTCCGCGACAGCACTACAAACGTTCATCTCGGACAGACCAGGTCAAAGCCCGTGGAATCATTGGACGTGGGATGGACAGACTCATTCGTGGCCAGAGTGAGCCATTCCCGCTTCTCTTCACCGGGCCGGTATTGATTATCGCAGAGGAACTAATTGCATTATTAAGGGCTGAGGTGAGTCGCCTCGAGCTATGCCATATTTCCACGTTCTAACTTCACTCCTTAGCGTGAACAACGCAACAAGGTCGATGCTTCTAGTAAGTCCACTCAATGTGCGCTCTCGTTCCTCACTGCTGAGACCGCCTAGGAGTCTTTGAGAAGCTCGCACGGGTTGAACGCGCCGACATTGACGCCCAAAATCCTGAGGGCTGCATGAAAGATACACGCGTCAAGATTCTGAAGGATCTTCGCGCCTGGAGCCAGGATAATAACGCGCCGCGACTTTACTGGTTGAATGGCATGGCTGGTACGGGGAAGTCTGCCATCGCTCGCTCGTTTTGCCATCAATTGCGTCGTGATAGACTCCTGGGCGGCAGCTTCTTCTGCTCACGTGGGGGTTCCGTTGAAGAGGGAGACGTCCAGCATATCATCCCCACGCTCGCTGCTTCTCTAGCAACGCACAGTTTATCATTTAATGAGAACCTACTCGCTGGGCTAACGGAAGAGCCGTTCTCCGTTCACTGGAACCTCGCACTTCAAATCGAGCGCTTATTGCAAACACCAATGTCTTCTTATGATGGCGAAGCCGATATGCTTGTTCTTGTGATCGACGCCCTCGACGAATGTTCGGATGATGAATCGACGCGCCATTTGCTGTCCAGGCTAGTCCGGGTATCCAGTGTCCTGCCGGTGAAGTTCTTCATCACCTCGCGCCCGGAACCACATATACGTTCGGAACTTGAGAGCCTGGATCCATCTCTGGGGCATGTTTTGCGACTCCATGATATTGAACAGGACATTGTCAGAGCAGATATCTCGCTCTATCTGGTTCATGGTCTTCGAGCTATGCGCGGACCAACGTTCCCGCCCAAATGGCCCAACAAATCAGATGTGACCACTCTCGTACGACTCTCCGGAAAGCTCTTCATCTACGCCTTCACTGCCTTGCAATATGTGCGAAAGGATCCCTTGGGACGACTACCTAAACTCACGGGTACCAAAGTGACCGCCGGTCGTCCCCTCACCCAGCCTTTGGATGACATCTATTCGTTGATCTTATCCGAAGCTATGAATCCTAATGAGTTTGAAGCGGAGGAGATCGACTTAACCCGTCGTATCATGGCAATGATCGTGGCAGTCCGTGAGCCCTTGACAATTGCCTCCCTAGGCCGCTTGCTCGGCTTGCCTCCGTATCGCATGCGAGTCTCCCTGACCCGGTTGTACGCAGTGATATATGTTCCCCTGCGGGATGACAGTGGTGTACTGTCTACTTTTCACGCGTCATTCAACGACTTCTTGACGACTGCCAGTCGAGCTCCAGCAGATATGTTGCCATATATGTCCGATAGCCATGCGATCTGCGCCACTGCTTGCATCGAGACTTTACAATCAGACCAACTTCGATTTGGCGTCTGTCAGGCACCCACGGCCTGCTTGTCTAATACAGAACAGCAGCTTGCTCATATAGACGACGCACTCCGTTATGCATGTCTTTATTGGGCCTACCACATTGAGAGAGCACCCGTAGCCGAGAAAAGAGGGCTTGTGCGTATGACTAGGAATGTATTTATGGGCCCTAAGTTTCTTTTCTGGTTGGAGGTATTGAGCACTATTGGGGCCATAGATAAGGCCATAGACATGTTCGAATCTGTCAAGACTACGATCACTATGGAATATGTGACGAGAAACAGCGTGCAATATGTGGCCTTCATTGATGCCGCTATTGACTTCATCAAACAGTTCTATCCCGCTCTTGAGCGGAGTGCTCCGCATATCTACTTGTCAGCCCTGTGGCTTTGTCACGCAGACTCTATCATAGCCCAGAAGTGTCAAGATCTCTATGCACGATACTCTCAGCATGATGCTGACCCTCGTGACCTTCGAAATCGAGGCGGATCCTTACGCGCCTCAGCTACATATTCATCAAATGACCGGGGTATCATCATCGGAGCAGAGGGCGTCATCAGAGTCTTCCGTCTGTCTGGCCCCCGGTCCTACTCACGGGGCATTGTCACCCCCAGTAAAACGGTCTTGAATGGCATGCGTACAAGCTTCTCGCAGGACGGTACCCGTTTTGTGCATGTGTCCGACGATGGAAGTATACGATCTTACAGCCTGTCCGATGGAGGAAGTGCCGTCAAGTCACTATCCCGTTTCAAGGACACGTTTAGAGATACATACAGGAGCAATGATACTGCAATGACACTTTCTTATGATGGGAAATATCTAGCCGCGGGTAGACAAATGGATGAAATACATGTTTGGGATACCAAGACCGGCTACATAACGTGGGGTCTCAGAAGTTCGTATAATGATGAAACAGCTGACGTTTTCGTTCGCTCTATCGCATTCTCACGGATTGGTTCGCTCATTGCTTGTGGGTCATCTAGCGGTAAAATAACTATCTGGGATCTCGTGACGGGGGCATTTGTTCGAGTGACAGAGCCACATACCGGCTGTGTGAATTCCGTCTACTTCGGTCCATGGGATATACAAGCTGTCTCTGGGTCGACCGATTGCACGATCTGTCTCTGGCAAGTAGGAGATGGGAAGATCATCACAAGATTCGTAGCTCATAAGGCTCCCGTTACAAGTGTAGCCTTATCCAAGATGGAATCGTGTATTGTGTCTGGCTCCCTGGATCGGACGATTCGGATCTGGAGCATAGATTCAGTCTCGGGGAAGGAAGGTCCTGTCACGGTCTGCCAACTTCTTTATCGCTTCGACGTGCTCCAACCTATCCAATCAGCTGTATTCTCGTCCGATGAACGCAGCGTTCTTTGCACCACAATGCATGGATCAGTGCAGGTTTGGTACCTAGACACCGATGATTGTCTGGTTACAGCACATTACCTTGATGAAGACGGTTGGCTCCGTGGCCCAAATGGCGAGCTACTGCTCTGGCTTGATGCTAATCCCGAGCATGGCAAGTTTCTGATCCATCCTGAATGCACATCAGTCTTGCATGGCGATCGATTGGATATGGGATGGATCTGGTCCAGGGCACGCGACTGGAGACATCCCAACGGGGTTGGGGATAGCTAGGGCGGGTATGATGAATGATGAATCAATCTCACGTACACACACAACGCGCGAAAACCTCGCACGAGAGAGTGCACAACAAGGGAAAACCGGAAGTAAGCGAGTGCGAGTCAGGTCTTCACGAGTCGCGACGACTGGCGAAGGAGAGGTATTAATGCGCAGTTATATTGGTGTACAGAGTCCGTCTATGGAAGGCTACGATGAGCGAAAACATAAGCAACAGCATGACATTGCGATACCGCGAGGGGGTACGGGCTGCTGAGCCAGTCCCAAAGCGTAGCTCATAATATGTACCAGCACTTATTCAAGCACCCGGCCGTCTTTTCTAGCCACTCTGGCCAAACTTCACGAGTGTGTGTATAACGGCTCAATGACGCGAGAGCTGTTCCTGAACAGCGCGCGCAACGGCCGCAGCATCGATCTTGATCTCGCCCAACCGTGATGGTCTTGAAACGGGCGGCAAAGACGCAATGTCGAGTCTCCTACACAGTCGTGAGTATACAACGTAGAAAGGGTAGCCACAGTGAAAATAGCCTACCTCGTATCCTGGAACCCGACGTATCCGTGACCCATGGACCGCACGACAGTGAGCCAATCAGCGTTGAAAGCGCTGGATGGGAAGAGCTCGACGAGTGCCGAGTGGGCGCTTGGGAGGAGGAAGGCCGCGTTTGACAAATGGTCGCCGGTAACGCCTACAATGACCTGTAGGAGCGTCCTAGTCAGTCTATGTTGTTTGTATAGCATGTACAAAGGAGAGATTACCGAAGAGCGCACGACAGCATTCATGTGCTCCAACCAGGGCGTCGTCTCATCGACAACATGCACCGTAACGCCCGTCTTCTTCAACTCCTTGATTAGCGCCTCGTGATCCTTCGCGCTCATCCTCGGTCCCTCCAGTTGTCTGCTCAGATAAGTGACCTCCTTCCCGGGCGCTTTGGCATCCTCCATTCCCAAGAAGTCCCACAATGTCTGCCTGACATCTTCGAACCAGTCTTGACGAATGACATCTCGTTGTGAAGTGAATAGTCGCGCCCACGGTGCGTCGGAATGTCCAGCCCGTGCGGAGGCGCCGCGGTCGACTACCACGAGGCGCTCGATCAAAACCGGTGTACCCAGGCCGACGAAGTCGTCAAAGTCTTCGTGGAACATGGTGCCCGCGAGACGCGGGTAGGCAGCTTTGAGCGTCATAGGGTGTACGCCGACGTCTGAGCGATGGCGTGGCGGGTTGCCATCGTATGGGTCTGGAGGTTTTGGGTCGTTATATGTCGGTACGGCCGGGAGGATCAACCGTGCGGGAGGTTCTGAGAGGTTGAGGTGTTTGTAGAGCAGTTGTAGAGTAAGCAGTGTAAGGCCATCGGTGGTGTCGTCGTATGAAACGAGTGTTGTGCCGTGCATCTGGCCACCGAAGCCGCCGAGCTTGGGGAAGGCATTGGCAAGAGGCAAGATCTGCCAGTCGATGTCGCGTGGAGGGTTGGCGTGGTTGATCATACTGCTACCCAACGTTTCGGGCAGCGGCATAGATGACGGGTCGTCCGTCACGAGGAAGAATGTTCCGAAGGCCATACTGACGTTCTCCAGAATAGTGAAGCCTGTGAATATAATGAGCCAATTGTGGATTAAATCGGGGATGGAAGAGTGTCGATGTCTCACCTGGCTCGTGGAATACGATCTTCGTCCTCGGCACCTCCTCGCCCCATCTTCCAAACTCCTCATTGATGGTAGTCTTCCCCAGGCGCCCGTCCGTCACATATTTTCCCTCGCCGACACCCTGCAACCATAGCGCCTGCTGCCCGGTCAACCCGACGCCATGCAGGTAGCTCTCCCCCTCCCCACTCTTCCCAACAACCCTCAGCTCCTCCGCGTCTTTTATTCCAGCGATATGATCTGGCTCCCAGTCCCACGTTCCGAATATTTCGTCTTCTAGCGCGTCTCGGTAGCCAGCAGGTTTACGGCCGTCTGGACCGATGGGTGCATCGCGCGCCGAGGCGAAGGGCGAGTAGGGGCGGATAGAGAAGCCCAGGAGAGATAGTCTCGTGTCGGCATTGTAGGCGACGACAAATATTGTTACTGAGACGAGCACGAGCAACAGCTCGCGTCGCGTTGGAGGTGCTGTCCAGCCTGGCATTCAGGCCGCGGTGACGTACAGCTCTACACCTGTGGCACGCGTATAAGTACTTGAATGGTTAGCAGTCGTTGCTCGCACGTACCAGAGGCTTGTAGTGGGATGCAACCCGAATAAACGGGTACAGAGATAAGACAGAAGCGCGAAGGTGATGGTACGTGGTACCGCCGCCTCGCGACTGCGTGGGCCACTTGACAGCGCGTTTTGATGGCCGCTCAAAGCTTGGTTGCTGCCTTTTCGGGGCCCAACAACGTCAGGCGGCCAAGTTGAGCATTTTGAATCCGAACCACCACGACCTTGTCGGTTAGGCTCTTGCCTCGAACTCGTGCTGCTCTAACCTTTTCGAGCGCATATGGAGCGGGCGTTATATATGCGGCGTATACAGTGTATTCTCTGTGGGATCGGACTTTGCGTCTCGTCTTAGCCGAGTGAGGCTCAAAGACCGACACTCCGTCACCTCTCCCCCGCACCGTGGGCGCTGGTACACAACTTTGATTTGTCCTGCTTTGTCAAGAACAGATATGACTGAGCAAATGCTACCGCTAACGAGCTCTTTGCGAATACTTACTAATCCCAAGGTGCTCGGCTTCAAACGTTGCTGGGTTTCATCGCCCTGTCTGAGGAGCGAGCGTTCGTCGTGGGGCACACAGACACCACAAACGATGCCTATGCTACGACGCGAAAATCATGCATCCCCATCTTCATCGCCTTTCCAACCCGAACCAGGATGTCTAGCGTCATTTTCTACAACGAAGACCTCACTGTCACAGAACGACACGAGTAAGCCCTTAGTTGAAGTTCTCATCCTATGATGAATTCTCGAACTGATTACAATGTACAGCGTCTAAGGCTACATCTTGATTGGATGCGCGTTGTCTTCTCAGTCGTCCCCACCGTTGCTTCACGCGGCATCGGCTCCCAAGCGGCCACCACCGCGAGTGTTAACCTTTTGATCTCCTACTAGTCATCGACATCACGGCGACGAGTTGTTCACCTGTAGCATCAGCCTATTGCGCGACATCAGCAGACTCTCTATTTGGCCACCTCTATCACCCACCTCCCCCTGCACTGCGGCAAGAGCAACACGATGCCAAACTCCAAGCTCCTCAATTGTCGTTCCGATAGCCACCTTCACTGTAGCGGAGTCCGCGACGTCCGCAGGGAACGTCGACCATCTCTGCATCTGCCTTCTCCTTCAGTATCTCCCGGTTGCTTCTGTTGGGCGTGCTCTATCGCGAGCAACGAGCACACTAGGGCGTCTACTTAGCGAGGCCTGTACGACATCTGTGCCATAGTACGTTCTCTCTCCTGCTTTCGTAGTACGCTCGTGCTCACCGCCCCCTAGGTACTCCGTTCCAGTGCTTAGGAAGATCAAGGGCACCTTCATAGCAACTACAAGTCTTTCGCCGTCTTCCGATTTTCTGCGCACAGCGACTACACCATCAGGGCGGTTTCTGCGTAGGATAGCGTCGAGCCTCCGCACCTGGCCGTTAGCAGACTGCCTATCCCCTCGGAAGGCATGTACGAACGACTGCACGTTATCACGATACGACGCTGATAGAGAGATCAGGTACAATTCTGTCAGTGAATCGGGGGTTCGGGAGAGAAGTGGAAGAAGAAGATCGTCGTGGGTACTACTACTGATTGAGAAGCTTGCCGTCCTGGTACGGTATTGATTGTGCCCGCATCGTGAGACTGTAGTACTCAGGCGCACTGTGTATGTATGGGTCCAAGCGTGAGGTCGTTGTGCAAGCCAAATACATAGCCGAGCCGCGAGCGTCTCGGTGCTCGCCACCAGAACATCATGGGAAATTGGATAATCGGGCCGAGGGAGCGGAGTGATTGCCGGCCCAAGTAGTCTGGCGCACTTCGACCAACGCTATGACGACCCTTGCAACTCGACTCTTGACCCTTTGGAAAGACATGCGGCTACAGACGGAGACATAAACCTTTTATTCAGACCGCGACGCGGAAGGTGTTCGTCAATTCGACAACCAGGCAGGCCGCCAGCGCCATTAACGTTAGTCATACACCGCTCAGTATCTTTGGAGAACTCGCCTTTCCCTCGAAGATCGTCAAGTCTGATCGGGATGCCTCCTATCGTTGCTCTATAACTCGCGTCCTGTGAATTCTCGGACGTACAGTACGTCAGTCCTCAAACCGGCGACTGAACAATCTGGACTGACGTGTCACTCTTCCTTCAGAGCGAGTACTAGTAAGGACAAATCGTTCATGATACGCGTTATAAGAAGCGGGTGTATTACCTCGAAGGCATCAATAGAAAACGGAGTGAGCAACGTCGTTGCCGATAACCTGGACCAGCTCGGAACAGACGCTCCAGCTTCCCCGTCAGTGCACGAGCAGTGTCGACGACATTCGCGGCAGCCCGCCGCTCCGCGATCTGAAGCACAGTCTAACAGTACCTCCGGCTCGGAACTGGCTTGCACGCTCTGCGCCGCTGCCCAGTCTTTGAGGTGAATGGCCTCCTAACCGTCGGAAATGCCGGCGATAAGCGTGGCTCCTGTCTTCGGCCGAGCCCAGTCGCGCATTACCGTCAACGATCTAAACCCCGACCTCGGCCAATTCCTCTCCAACCCGGACCTCATTCAAAGTTGCGCGCCCTCTGGCTTAGTCAACATCGGCACATCGCTTTGGACCAGAGCCAAGATGAGCTGATGGTGACGCGTAATTCTGATTCTGGAGGCCACGAGTGCGCGCGGGGAACCGACCGCTGCTTACAACGAGTACAACAAGAACACAATCGTCGGCGGGTATATAAGGCTCGATTGACGAGCGGGGTCCTCCCTCATCTCGATCGACTCTACCATCTACCAACCTTCAACTTTTCAACTGCAACACAGTCACAATGTCTTTGTGGGACAATCTCATCGGGCTTGACGAGGACCTTCCTACGGCTGACACCAAACACGAGTGAGTCCTTCATATCCATCCTCGCGGAGCGTTTCTGACTGAATTGTACTTTATTAACGCAGTGTCTACCCCTACATCTCCCCCGAGCCTGACTTCAAGTCCCAATCCTACGCCGGCAAGGTTGTCCTCATTACCGGCGCCTCCCGCGGTATCGGCTCGCAGACTGCCATCACTTTCGCCAAGGCCGGCGCTTCAGTCGTGCTTATTGCGCGCAAGCAAGCGACGCTCGACGAGAGCAAGGACGCGATTCTGAAGGAGAAGCCCGACGCTCAGATTCTGACATTCCCTGCGGATGTGGTCGATTCTGCCAAGGCGAAGGAGGCGATTGCTGCGACGATTGAACGCTTTGGCAAGCTTGATGTCGTGATCGCCAATGCGGGTGTGTTCAGGAGCACAGGAGGCAAAGGTATGTCCAGCCGTTCTTTTGCATGACTTCAGTGCTGATGTCCCGTGAAGGCTTCGCAGACGCCGATGCTGATACTTGGTGGAATACCTTCGAAATCAACTTCCGCGGCGTGTACAACTATCTACAGTAAGCAATCCTCCCATTCTCTCAAGCCTCATCACTAACATGTTTTCATCATGTAGCTATTCCATTCCCGAGCTCAAGAAGACGAAGGGCACTTTTATAACCACCACAAGCCGCATCGCGCTCCTCCGCCTACGCACTGCGAGCGATTACGCGGTCTCCAAGCTCGCTTCGAACAGGATGATTGAGTTTGCCGTCGTCGGTATGTCCTTCCGTTGAACATGCCTGAACCATGCTCACAAGACATATAGAGTATCCTGAGATCAAGGCGTACGCGGTCCACCCCGGCGTGGTCGCCACGGAGATGAACCGCAACGCGGACAGCGGCGCCGACATTCCCGCGGCGGACAGTGTTGAGCTCCCTGCGGCTGTGTATCTTCATCTTGCAAGCGGCAAGGCCGAGTATCTTAGCGGAAGGTGCGTGCTAGGACTGTGTCCTTCTGGCATCAACTTGTAGACTGATGCGTATTCTGCACTCTCGCAGGTATGTGTCGGTAAACTGGGACTTGGAAGAGATCGAGAAGAAATACAAGGACAAGATCGTCGCCGATAACGCGCTTGTCGGGAAGCTCGCTCTCCCAGCATAGACATGTACATTACCTACCGTTGATGCAATAGATTGTAAAGGAGTGCATACCTTGTGGCACCTACACACGTGTGACCCGCGAAGCTGCTTGCCGCCGGCGCCGCGCCCGGCCCGACTCAGCCGGCTGCCCCTAACCTCCATGCACCGGCCTGTCACCCAAACCGCCACCACGATATATTGTGTGTCTTCCCCTGTGCCCGAGTCTACCCATCCGAAACTTTTTCGCATACGCTCTCTTGCAAGCCCTTCCAGTCAAGCATCATATATAAACTAGATGGTATGAGAAGATGGTGTTACAGTGACTCATGCGCATGAGCTATTCGGATGCCCGCACCATCGAGTCCTCATCAATCATTCTCTCAAAGCGTTGCGATGTGGAATATGCGAGCCGCCTGGGGGCTACCATGTCTCTCTCATCCGACCGAGACCGGTGTGGCACTGAAGACGCGTTTGCGACTGCTACCCGAACCATTCACCCCTTTTGAGCGCATTTCCTACTATATAGCAAGCGGCCGACGCCACACAAGTCCCTCAAGGAAGGCTCCTCCCTTCTCTTCCAAAAGCAGCCGACGCGTTCCCTCCGGCACTTTACCCCTCGGTCCTCCGCATCCGTCATGCCGCCCAACCAGAACCCGAAGAAGTTCGACTTCCTCGTTGGCCTTTCAATCGACGGTTGCAAGCTCCTGGAGCTCGTAGGACATGGTCACTATGGGGCGGTTTTCCGCGCTTCCGAGCCAGACAAGGAAGCGTCGGTCGCAGTCAAAATCATGCGCGCGCCGAAGCCGGGTTCATCCAAGGAGATCTTGCTTTGTAACGAGCTTGAGGCTCTCCGACGGCTGCGTACGTGCCAGACCACGACTTATCTACACCGAGTCGTCAAGCGAGACGGTCTACTCTGTCTGGTAATGGACTACTGCGACGGCGGCGATCTCTGGAATCCGGTCATGCGCGACCGCAAGTTCGTTGGCGACAGCGCGCTCACAGGCCGCGTATTCGGAATGATGCTCGACGCAGTCCAGGATGTACACAACGTCGACTTTGCCCACCGCGATCTCAAGCCAGAAAACTTCCTCACTGACTCTGGTCTTGAACACTTGTGGCTGGCGGACTTCGGCCTCGCGACACAAGGCAGGGAGACGGACAAGTTCGGCCGTGGGACCCCGGCCTACTTACCTCCAGGTGCGCGTTGCGGTCTTCCCTTGTACCCTCAGATGCTCACACATCCTATGCAGAGGGCTGGACTCCCGACCTGGAACGTATCGATGCATTCCGAGGCGACGTCTTTGCGCTCGGCGTCACACTCTTTCAGATGTTGTACGGAGAGTATCCCTGGTGCCGCGCCATCGCTCACGACAAGCACTGGGACGACTTCGTTGCCTACCGAACCGACTTCTTCCGCAACTGCGACAAATGGGCTGGCAAGCGCGGCGGTCCTCCAGTATCACGCGAAGCGCACGTCCTTTTGAGCGCAGCGCTCGAACCAAAGATGGAGTCGCGCATTGACATGCCCGAGTTCAGGCGCCGATTTCACGACATCAACGACTTTTTCGTACCGCTCGAGTCGATTCCATCAGATGTACACGCGCCTATCGGGGTCCGGCACGCACCGGATCTGGCGTCCGACTCATCGTCGGACTCAGAGTCTGACGCCGGACCTGCAACGCCGCGTCGTATATCTTCGCACCTTCCTCCTGGAGGCGCTACTCTGGGTCTTTTCAAGAACGTGTATGATGATGATGAACGGGAAGGTAAAGGGCGGCAGCCAAGCACTGGAATCAGGGCCTGGATTCGGCGTCTTGTCGTACGGCCCTCATCCAGTGCTTCTCGATAACGCTGAACATATCCGCGCTCTCTCGTTCACTCCATATATACCCCAGACCCCGCCTCGATACCCGAGATACCTCCCACACTCATTGAACTCTACTCGTGTTTATCTAATCTGTACATAGAATACCTATATGACTCCATAATACCACGCTGTAAGGCGTTTCATCGTCACATCTCTCTGAGTCGCCATGGAGATCGTCATCCCCGCCCTTCGACTTCTTCTAAGATTTCTTTGAGGGATCATGGTAGCAAGGCCATGTGCAAAGCATGTTGGGTGAAGATAGAAGCAAGATAAATACTAATAAGTCTCGTGAATGGTATGTAAAGGACCAATAATGGAATATGCTATGCAAGAGCAATCGGTGATCACGAGCAGTGCAGGTCAACTCAGTACCCAGACCCGTGTACTTTCTCTCTGAGTGTATTCAAAAACTGCTGATAGCTCGGTTGCCCATCCGCGCGATCCATGATAAGGGTCGATATGGACCAAGCGCGCAGAGCTGCATCCCCATCTTCTTTCACGAGATATAGCGTGGGCCAGAATGGACCACGGCGTGCTTCGCGGGCACCCTGCACAACCGCACGCACCCGAGCGGAGAACTCGTTCTCGAGCACTGGTAGTGAGATCTGCAAGAAGCCCCGAGCATCAGTGATTGAAGATCATTGAATCGTGAAAGGGGCGTACCTTCCCAGAACGCAGGGCCTCATAATTGGGAAGCCCAAATACATCCTCGATCAAGCGTGGCACAGCGTCGCGCCCAACCCATAGAAACATAGTCTGCCCATCCTCAATCAGGAACAGGCCATGACGCTCGAATCGCTCAGATGATAACGGATTCAACAGCGGCATCGTCACTCTCCCGCCTTGATCCCTCACTCCACACTCGTCCGGCATATTGTGAAGCGAGTAGAAGTTGGGGTGTAGGTATCCCAGAAGGGCATCGCATGGGAGTGCGGTGAGTAGGTATTGCGCCCATGCACGCAAGTCTGGCGGGATTTGAGCGCTTTGTCGGAGCGCGATGTTCTTCAGAAGGCCAAGTATGAGCAATGGGAATGCACGCATGTTCTCTGGGAGTGAGAGCTGGCCGCCCGCATTCACGCCGCCCGTCCCGATGCAGCCCTTGTATGCGATAAGGATGTCTGCTACTTTTGCCACAAGCATCTCACGCGCGTCCTCCAGCTTGTGCGTGAGCGTTTTTGCTGCCGCACGCGCTGCCAGCGTAGCTGCGAGCGCGCCGCAGTCCACGGATGCGAAAACATCGTTGACGTTTTGCGTGGTCGGGACAGCGGTCGTGATGACGCGCACACGGCGTTCGCCGGCGGCCGTTGTGTGCAGGATGGCAGTTTGCATTACGACGAGCGGGGTTGGAAGGGTATCTTCGATCGCAAGCTCGACAACATAACCGTTGTCCTGAGGGACAGTCGGCATTGCGAGTAGATCCGTGCTACGGACGAAGAAGTTGCCATGAAACGCCTTTGTGCGTAGCCCACCCGAGACCCGCACGCGAGTAACGGCCTCAACCATGATCGGCATTGCGAGCACAACGCCGAGCTCACGAGAGACCTTCTCGCTATCTTCGGGTCTCGCGGCATTGAAAGCAGGGTAGAAGAACGCCTGTCCGGAGGTGTAGTGGGGTAGACAAGTCAACGTAGCGATATCCTGATACGACAGTCCGAACAGGAACATGTCGACGGACACTTGCATGCGCGAGCATTCGATAGCGAATGTTTTGTAGAACGCAGACGCGGGCTGCAAAAGGCCAGATTCCTTGGGCGTCCCAAGCACCTTCGGCTCCTCGCGATTCTTCAAAGCTCCAGCGCCAACGGTCGGTAGGCTTGCCGAGAGCACGATGAGCTTGCCGCCGACAGGTGCCTATACCAAGTTAGACACAGTATGGCGCTAATCGATCATTCAACGCACCATCAATTGAAACCCTATCTCCAGTGCAGACCCGAGAGCACTACCAGGTGACGTGCTGTCCTTGAAGATATTCGGGAAGCTATCGAGAAGGGCTTCCAGGGCTTCACGGGCTTCTTTCAGATTGACGAGAAGATCAAAAGGCGGCCGAGGGAGGAAGACATCATCCACATCCGCTACGACAAACATGTTCGCGTCCGTGGCGTTAGGCTATCCGGATGATAGGTCAATACCCATTGAACGACCAATGCAAGGGAGACGCGCACCTGGACATGGAAAAAGTACAACGCGGTGTCAAAGCCGATCAGCGCGATCTTCGTCCGGTCATCCTCGTTTGGTAACGAGTCCAGATTATCGAGCAGTGTGCGGCTGACAGTGGCCAGCATGCCCGAATTCACGGCCGCATGGCTGACATCCAGAAGAAAGACGTAGTAGAGCGGCTGGGGTGGCCGAACCATGTACTCAGTCGGCGCTACAAAGTCGACCAAGCCATAGTTGAGCTCCGTACGCGCCCAGCGGTCAGCAGAGCAATTATTGATGACATCCCAGTCGAACGCCTGTGGCACATCGTTTGTCATGCCGCACATACAACATTTCCAACTGCGCGCGGTGGATGAGCAACGCGCGCTATAAGGACGATGCGACCATACCGATTGTTGTTGTCCACGAATTGTACGTATGGATTGATGTACGTCCGGCAACGTCGGCAGCGCGCAATGACGGCATCGTTAACCAGACGAACGTCCTCCTCTCCCTCCCCTACACTTCGGTACGGGTTGATGACCAGCGCAAGTGGTAGTTTGGCCTTGCTCGCGGTTGCTCCATTTGCAGGAAAGGCACCCACAGTGCATCTTTGATAAGTCTGTGGTGCGTTCGTCCTCCCGCTTTGCGAGGCGGTCGCTCTTGCTGGAAATTGTGGCGCAGGAGGAGGAAGGTGTGGCTCGTGCGGGCCAGGTGGTTCTGTGAGCAGATTTACAGCTCGAGATTGTTGCCGGGCGCCCTGCACGCCCATTTGGTCCAAGTGGTTGGCAAGCTGATCTACGCCGTAAGCTCCTACTGGAGATACCGGATTATACCCTGAGACTTGCGTGCTCGCATAGTCCAAGGGTCCCGGCTGTCCTGCATGTTGGGTCGCATCGACCGGCGTGAAGTAGCCCTGTGCGACTGTCGATGGTGTAGGCTGGTCATACGATTGCGGTGCGGTGGGACCGGGTGTGCTGTTGTAGTATAGTTGGGATTGTTCGACTGGCGCGTATTGTCTCCGTTTCGTACGTGCCTGTGCGGGCTGTGGAGTGTCTGCCATCTCGGGGACCATAGCAGAAGGAGCTGGAGGTTCCCACTGGGCGCTACCGGTGGCTTGATCTACGGCAACAGTGTCGACAGGCGCTCACGTCGGCATGCCAGATTCAGAGGCGCACCGATAAAGACCCATCGCTGGTGCTCCGCGTTCCTGGTGAATGCGTACTTTGAGCGACACACTCTTCGATACAAGGCACAATATTCCGTACCATTCGGCGATCCATCCTGGTGGTAGGGGCAGTTGTTCAGACATGGCCGACGGAGAGAAACGAGAGATGTCATTGTCGGGCGGTGATCCGAATGACGGGAACAGCCGTCGGTGGCTGAACACGAACATCCTGGCCATCGGCTCTCTCTTCTCGCGTCCACGACGTCTGAGCGGCGCCCTATCTGCTAGCGGATACCCACACGCTTGGATCTCACAAAGTTGCGAGAATGATACGCCCCTCCAAGATCCTCCAAGATCTCCTGCTATCGTGTTTCAACGGGTGTACCGGGCTCGCTGGCAACTGACCACAACAGCCTTTGCTTGCTCGTTCGACACGCTGTCTCTGCTCGGAATTTTATCTTCAGGCCGATTGAGCTTGTAGAACTGGCCTCAATGAAGCGCAGGGGCTTACTCTGAGCGTTATCATGGCTCCTGCTGCGGAAACATCTGCAGTTTCTAGAGAAAGCGAACAGTGGCTCGGCAGCGCTCTTCATCCCGCATTGGGGGCCTTGTTCACATTGGCTGCCTGTCAAGCACGCGATCAGCTTTTACTCTTCACACACAGTAGGAAAGCAGGATTGTCCGGCTACGCCGCCTCCTGTTAGCAAGCTTATCTCCATTGAAAAGCAGGCTATTTTTCGCATGAGAGTGGGCTGGGAAGGCGGAGTAAGGGAGACCAGCGCTTCGCCTAAATACCCTCGTACCTCACTGCCGAGTCCTTATCTCATTCGCGTCTTCTCCTGTGCCGTGAGGTATCATCGCCATGAATCGTCCCGGTGAGCTGGAACGCGAGGCCAGCAGCCTCGAGAAACTCGACCCGGAGAAGGTGTCGATCAAGGACGTGCGTATCTACTGCTCTCTCATAACAGACAAGATATTTATTATATCTCATAGCTTACCGAAGCGGTCGACTTCGTCGAGGATCCCAACTTTGATCCAAATGCCCTCGTTCTCGAAGACGACTCGCCATACCCCGAAGTACGCTCCGCGGTGTCGAATACTGACGACCCGGAAATGCCTTGTGCAACTTTCAGGGCTTGGTTCATCGGGATTATCTGGGCCATTTTGATCCCTGTGAGTGACGTGTAGGAGTCTACGTGTTCTCTAAAGCGAATCGTCTCCATCTAGGGTGTCAACCAGTTCTTCTTCTTCCGATTCCCGTCGGTGTCCATAAACTCCGTAAGTCTGAGAGCTAAGCTGAAGTCGCGGACCGACCACTGACTCTCGCTTTAGCTTGTCCCCCAACTGCTTTCCTTCCCGATCGTCAAGCTCTGGGCTCGCTACGTACCCCGCGTGAAGGTCTTCGGGTACTCACTGAACCCGGGACCATTCACCGTCAAGGAGCATGTCATCATCGTGGTGATGGCGTCTGTGGGTGCTGGCTCTGCGTACGCGGTATGTGCTCTCATCACGTTGCTTAATCCGGTCAACCCGCTGATCTCTCATCCGTTCAGACGGATATCATCGCCGTCCAACGTGTCTTCTACAATCAAGCGCCCACCTTTGGATGTAAAGCAAGACCATCTTCGTTCTCGGGACCCACTCTTACTCAACTTCACTAGACCAATGGATGCTCGTCATGAGCACTCAGTTGATCGGCTTCAGCATCGGTGGGATCTGCAGGCGCTTCCTCGTCTCGCCCCCGTCTATGATCTGGCCATCCAATCTTGTCAGCTCAGTCCTCTTCAATACTCTCCATGCGAAGCAGACCGCCGGTTCTGAAGCACGGGGAGGTATCTCTCGTGAACGGGTTCGTTATGTCTCTCCAAGAATCATACGTCGCAGCGATGCTTACTCCGACGTCTTGTAGTTCTTCGCGTATACGTGTTGCGCGTACTTCGTCTGGAACTTCATACCTGTAAGTAACTGCATTATACCTCACATCACTACATACTTACACCTTCTGAAGACATACTTGTTCACCGCATTGTCCGGCTTTGCCTGGGTAACTTGGATCGCACCAAATAACCTGAAGGTCAGTGAATGCACAGATCATGTGTCAAACCGCCTCTGACCGCCGCAAGTACATAGATCAATCAGCTCTTCGGGACTAGCCACGGCCTTGCGTTCAGGTATGTCATGCAGGTTTCTTGGATGATCTCCGCGAGCATACGACCATGTTCGCAGTTTGATCACATTGGATTGGGGTCAGATAACATTCAATGGCTCTCCGTACGTCATTATCGGACACTACATCCGTCCCGCTAAGCGTGATGCAGTCTTCCTGTCCCATGGTGGGCAACAGCAAACATCGCCATGGCGGTCGTCGTGTTCTACTGGCTCGTCACCCCTCTCGTCTACGTGCGTGGATATTCCGGCTGCGTGCCCCGTATCTTACCTTATCTCGGCAGTACTCAAATACCTGGTTTACCGCATACCTACCTATGGTATCCTCTCGATCGTGCGTTTTGTTCATCCATCCGCACATGCATGCTCACTGACGTGCTTGCGTAGTTACGATAACACCGGAAAGCCTTACAACGTCACGCGCATCATCAATGCTGACCTCAGTCTCAATGTCGAACAGTACAAGGCGTACAGCCCCCTCTTCCTGCCGGCTGCCTTCGCCCTCTCTTACGGCCTATCGTTCGCGTCCATTACTGCAACCATCAGCAATTTGGGAAGCGGTCTGAAGCGCCCTGTGGGCGTCTGAAGCGGTCTGAGGGCTCTGAGGGCCATGTGAGCCCAGAGCTTTGAGCGAGCCTTCAGACGTTTCAGGGCCGTCAGACCGCTTCAGAGTCCCTCAGATGCCGTCAGACCGCTTCCCTAAAGTCTTGATGACGTTGACGCACTGCTTCCTGTACTACCGCAAGCAGATCTGGGTACAAGCTCGGCGTTCTCTAAGCGAGCAACCAGACGGCGAGACAAGCTTTCCGGATAGCGGGAGCGTAGAAGCTGACCGAATACCTTGCAGTTCATGCCCGCCTTATGGCCGTCTATAGGGAGGTTCCCGAATGGTGGTACGCCATCATCTTCGGTACGCAGGAGCTCTTTTACCTCATATACTCGTCTGACTCATATGTTATTCATAGCCACCATGTTTGTCTTTGGAGTTGTTGTCGTTGAGGTACTCTTTCAAGGCGCCACTGCCATGTCCATATTGGTCTTACACCATCTAAAGGTCTTCCACCCGGACTTCCCGGTTTGGGCGTTCGTACTTGCACTGGCCATCTGTAAGGCACCTTTCCCATCTCCTGCATGCGTCTTTGAGGGACTCAATATTGAATCACTAAGCATTCGTGTACACCATCCCTATCGGCATTATTCAGGTGGGCATACTCTCGAGTTCCTTTGGTTGGCTTCGGTTCTGTTCTGAACGATCTCCCAGGCTATCACGAACATGCAAGTCGGCTTGAGTGAGTGTTGAGTTATTGCCGTTTTCGAGTCAATTGGCGGAGACGCGCCGCGACGCGATTTTCCCGCGCGTCG